CGATATACCAATAGTTATTGGTATACACTATACGCTATAATATACATCGATTAAAAATTAATAGACGGTTAAAATAATAATATTAATATGCAAATCGTTGTTTAGATCATATAAAATATTTTTGTTATAATAAAGACATATATATATATATATATATATATTGATTTTCCACTGCGTTTTGAATCCGAAAAACACGTTACGTTATAATATCAAAGCAGTAATGTTCTGGTGGAAACCGACGGGGAAGAGGCCACGAGGACTTTCAAGAAAGAGGTGGATGGACGTGGTTGAGGAGAATTTAAAAAGGATAGGAGAGAATGAGTGGAGACATAATTCATGATCGGGAGAAGTGACGTGAAATTGTGATGATGACAAAAACTCTTGTAGAGTAAATTAAGCCAGAAGACAAAAAAAATTAGAGTGATAATATCTAATAGTAAAACTTGGGCTTCAAAATATAATTTATTTTACATAGGTACCTATCAGTATTCAGGGACAGTCAAATGAAGATAAAAAGTATCGCATCCCCCGAGGTCTAATTTCCATCAATATTCATAATATTATATGCCTCGGATATTTTTAATATTGGGGTGCCGACGGTTTCAATTTTTTTCGTACGTCAAGCTTTGAATATCTAAGCTTATTTAAAGAGAATGCACTATGTACGTAATCCAATATCTCTGCCAATTTTCCGATATTTCATATCCAAAAACGGGTTAATGTTTAGCGCCTCAAATGCTGTCGCGAGTTTATTTGTATACGATAACTCGATACGTGATATGACTGGATACATCGGTATTTTCATTCCAGGAATGTTTAATTTATTTGCAAACAGTATGTAAGTGTCGTGTAATATTGCTGTCGGTTCGAGTACATAAGTACAACACGACTAAAGTATATTTTATAAACACGGTAGGTAATCACTTAAATCTGAACTCACCATAACCGGTAACCCGAATTCGAATAACATTTATTATTACACTATATCAAAATAGTTAAAAATAACGTGACGCAGTTTCGTGCCCGGAGGCACATGGGGGGGCATGCCCCCTCCCCATCATTGTTCATATTTTTTAATACCATTCGGTATAACCGTTTCATGTTGATATTACTTTACGGTGTGTGTGTTTGTGCGTGTATGGTTTATTTCCATATTCCATTGATTAAGCGAGTATAATATTATTATGTAGTTTATTTTTAAATTTAATTAAAGAAATTAACGTTATCCGACTGACATTTTTTTACGTCCATTGAGAAATTCTACAGTGGCTACACCCGCGCCACTGACGCGACGTGTTAGCTGTTCTATACAGTGTGTACTGTAATTAAAAACGAAATAGTTTCAGAACGCAGAAAATGATCGAACGACCGAAAATTAATAATAATTCAATAATAACCACGGCGGGAACGAATAAAATAGTTTTGAGTACCGAATCGTGTGAAGACGGCGTAAACTATTTAAAATAATAATAATATAATATAGTCTTTAGCCGTCGCCGTCGCCTTCGTGTGTCGATGTCGTTCAATTTCAAAAAACTATTCCAAACACTCCCTCTCACGCGTCGTGACTAACTGCCAATATAACTTATAAGACTATGCGTTCCTATCGATTTTGAACGTTTCGCGATGGATATAATGCCAATCAGGCATACACGGGAATAATCATTTTTGTCGTCGAAAACACGTTATTTTCTCGCGTCAGATATTACTATTACAGCGATGAGAATAAATAATAAACGCGCAAGAATATAGTATACGATGTATATATATATATTAAATTATTATTATTATTTGTATTATGAATATATATGATTATCATCTAATATAATATTATTATAGAAAAACATTGTTTGCTCGCATAAATCACGAGTGTATAGCTCAAGCGTCAAAAAAAAAAAAAAAAAAGGTTTTGTTTATCCTGCGGGAGTACTATATAATTATTATTTATAAAACGTCTAACGTGCCGAAAGAAATGATATATTTTCGCCAGTCGGAGAACCTCCGCAAAAATTATCATACGGTTCTTCATCTTTTTTTTTTTTTTTTTTTATAATATCCTTTCTTATTTTTCGCCATCGGAAAAAAATCGCCCTACGTCCTACTCGAACCGCGGTAATAACAACCGTTTTAAACGATTCTCTAAAGCCGCAATATAGCGAAAACGAAATGGCGAACGGGTAAAATTTTGAAAAACAGAACTGCGGAGTTTACATCGTTACGGAATCCAAAACTAGCTAAATTGTATTTATTTAATTCGCATGTTGGTGTTATTTTTATTCACGGAAGGTATTGCGTATAGATTTGTAAACTTTTTGCTCGTTTTTAACTGCGGACTTTGCATTATTTGCGTCAACAGGCTTGAGTTGTAAACGACGTATTTGAAATAATTTAGATTGTCATAACTTCATAAGCATTGAAAATTTCCAATACACACAGTATTATCACGTATTTTTTCTGAGAAATATGTATACGTTATTTCTGTTTTCCGAGCAGTTGCTGTTGTTTCGTCCCGACAACAAACTGTTTCCGTTCGATCAATCTCCATAATGGTGGATTTTGATAATATGCCCCTTAAATATGAGCGTGCCTTTCTATACCGTGTTCGGTTTCTGATTCTAGTTTCTCGTTCGCTAGTATTCTCCTCACAATGGTCTAAATACCTTTTACAGCGTCAAACGTTGCCCGTACAATTTTCCTTCCAAAAACCAGATCAAATGCAAGTTTATTTTCATCGGTTTTCCTTGTTGGCCAACTCTCTGCATCCTATATATTATGTAACAATCGAGGTCACTGTAATACACGGTGATTTATTTATCATGAATCAGCAATTTCTTCGGAGGATTTTAAGCGAATTTGATTTCTATTTGTTTTAATCATTATAGAATCATTTAAGCTTTATTTTAAAACCATTAATAAACTGTGTGTCTATTTTTAAATAATAAATTGATAACTCTTCCCTACTCCTCCTGTTTAAACTTGAACGGTTTACTCATAAACGATAAATCTTATATATTATAGTGTATACAAGGTGTCCCACGAAGATATACCCATTGTTATAATATCTCTGGAGATAATAAAGATAACCAAATTCAGTTTTTACTCACAGAAATAAAGACCAAAAATATTTATATTTCAATTAATGTTTTATATCTTGGTAAAAACATAAAAAAAATAACTTTTTATTTTATTTTTTTTGAAAAATTTGAAGATAAGCCATTTTATAGAGTTTATTCTATTGAACATATTGACGTATCAATTTTTTTTTTTCATTAAATTTATAATTTTTAATCATTTTTTAAAGTTCCAAGAAAAAAATGTACAGTCAATTAGTCATAATAATAGAGTTGAACGAGTATCGTTTTTGAATGTCGAGTCGAGTCGAGTCGAGCTCAAATGTCGAGTACTTGAAAAAGTTCGAGTACTAAATCTTTCATAAAAATCTCGCCCTAACAATTATAAACACAACAACAGAAAAAAAAAACAGCCACATCGGCCATTCTCAAGCGATGATCTTTCATATACATGCTGCAAGTAATTTTTATACTACCATATTAGTTTATTATTTATTATTTACTATTTAGTAGGTTATAGCTAATAGGTATAGAAAANTCTTTCATAAAAATCTTGCCCTAACAATTATAAACACAACAAAAAAAAAAAAGCAGCCACATCGGCCATTCTCAAGCGATAATCTTTCATACACATGCTGCAAGTAACTTTTATTCTACCATATTAGTTTATTATTTAATATTTACTATTTAGTAGGTTATAGCTAATAGGTATAGAAAAAAATGCAATAATTATTTAAATTAAACAAGAATTGCCTTTATTTATTAATTAATTATCTAATATCTTTATCATCATAAACTAGTAACTACAAAGTAAAAAATATTTAAAAGTTTAAGCATAGACTACATTAAAAACTTTTAACATTTATTTTCCAATAAAATAGTTAAACGAGTACTCGTTGAAGTCGTCGAGTACTCGATTGAAGTCGAATACTCGTATGTATGAGTACAAAAAAAAATTGTGTCGAGTCGAGTCGAGTACTCGAACTCGACTCGAAAATTTTTCCAATTTCGAGTACTCGCCCAACTCTATTATCTATACTAAATAGTGACGATCAAGACGCTTATAATACGATATACGACATATGAACAGTATAATATTATATTATTACGTTCACGGTTCAAATTTCCCGCAGTGTATCTCAAAATTTACATACATTGCTGACCTCTAGCGGATTATTACTCAACGAACTTATTTGTTTAGAATTTGCTTAGAGTTCAGCACTTTAATCTAACCTGACACTCATAAACATATTTAATCAATTTTGATAGCGGTATATTATAATACATAAATACTCGACTGCGGTCTACACTCTACGAGCGCTACAGAATTGTTCCATCATGCGATTAATATAGACCATAGTTCTCCGGGATCATGTCGCAGATGGTAGACCACAATTCCATTACCACAACCAGTAAAATAGACAGATAATGATATTATTATCATCGTATTTTTCATAAAATTGAAAAGATTAAAGATGATACAGAGAAAATCGTACCAGGGCTACATTAACGAAACTTATTCATTTCAGACGTTAAAACATCAATTGAGTACCTACTATCATTAAACCAAATTTTCATAAACCAGAGTTGTGATTTATATACACAACATTTTTTTTCTTATAGCGTATTATGTAGGTACATAATTATTAATTATAATATAATTTGAATGTTTTTGTCAATATATTAATACATAATAAATAATGATAATATATGTTCATTGATTATAAAACACTAATTAAATTTAACTCACTAGCTTCATCCACCATTCCAAATAAAAGTAAAATTATACAGTTTTTAATTATTGATTATTTTTGATCAAATTTACAAGTTTATTGATAAAACCCGTTGTAACCTCAAATTATAAAAATGTTCGTTCTCCTGCGTAGACAAGATCTTAAAATATGTAAATTAGTTTTACATGTCTATGTTCTCCTGTGATAGACTCCCATGCTCTATGCATTCTTACATTATCCGTGGCTAACATATTTACCCATGATATTATCTGTCGCACAATGAACGCACAATGTACATCTATGTTATCACTGAACGTTGTTATTTGTTAAGAGAAGTTTAAAATTTCAAAAATAAAAATATATATTGTTATTATAATTTAAATTACAGTTGTCCGGTTTTTTTTTCCTTTTACAAACATCATGTTTCATAATTTAGAGATGGGGAAGTCTAATATATTTAAATCCGTATCATTGACTAACACTGTGACATGTGTTAAGTTTATTGACAATTTTTTATTAGCTGGTAAGACGTTTTTTCTAACTGTTTTATGTACTATTTCTTTTGGAGTTTTAGATAGTTTCAGATCAATATTTTTACTGTTTCTAATGATGTATAAAATAATTCACGTGATGTGGGCCAGGCCAATCGCGGATGTTTTTAATCACAATATCCTTTCTACAAATTATTTTCATTGGAAGTATAAGTTACAGTAATCTATATATTTGAATATTTCTCAATATTTTATCCAGATATTCTATGTTCCGAGCAGTAGCCTAGTTATAATTTTTTTCTAGGTAGATTTCATAGGTATATTATATTCGGAAAGTTTTCCAATTAATATTATGATATTGTCTTGTTATTGAAATAAAAAAATCTTAATCTGTTTCATCATAAATAACATTATAGGTACATAAAATGAAATCACAAATATCAAATAGAGAATAGTAGTAAAGATCATAGACATAATATTATTAAAAAAAATACATATTAAAAATATAAGAATAATTTGTGATATTTTAAATTTACCTACCAGTAATTCTTTTAAGTCCCTTCAAGTTAGACACAATACCTATGGTTGGCATATTTAGTATTTGTTGATGCAGCCACATTTTGCTTTGATGTTTCTGGTAATGTCCAAATTTCAGCTTTACTAACTTATTGTTTAATAACTAGGCATTGGTAATATTTTGCTGATCTATGACATAGAATCTAGGCAGTTATGTGGACGTAGAAAAATCTTTGATAGATCTACAATTCACGGTATTCAGTTTGATTCTAGAGAAACATTGGCATTGATACACGGAGAAACAAATGTAGCAGTATATAAAATGAACATCCAGATTGGTTTCCAGTAATTAACATACTGGTATTTAATTACTTTTATACATGTTTTATAATTTAATTTAATTTTCTAGTTTACAGTTTGACTGTGTTTTAATAACTACGGATTGGGTTTGTCATGTTCTCTGGGTGAATCCTAATTCATTTTTAACATTATCTGCTCATAATAAGGCAACATTATGGAGCTGTGATCATAAAATAGAAGTAAATTCTTCACAATGTGATGAAAAGTGCATATTGTATCCTTTATATTGAGTAATTAATTTTACAACATTTTATATTTATTAAACAAAAATTAAATATTGTACATTTCAAAATATAATAAAACAGTTTTTGTAATAAATATATTACAGAATAGGGAACTTTTAATTATATTTCAAATTATAATATATGAACTGAATAGTCATTTTCTGAATGCATTATAATTATTATTTATACCAATTTAAATTAAATAGCTATATCACAATGTATTACTTTAGTCTTGAATAATCCTATTGTTATAAATTATCAGATATTCTGCTACATCAACAGGAGAAGATGAAACAAATATTATTATATTCTCAGGAACGGTTTTCAATGAAATAATTATTTGGAGTCCTTTTAGAAAATCTAATGGATCAAACATTTTACATAGATTACAAAAACACGAAGTAACATTTCTAGACAATATTTTTTTTTTTATTCAAATTATTTTTATTAAATTGTGTTATATTTTATATTCTTATGTTTTTAAACTAGGGTGTAGTATTTTCTATCTCTGTGAATAAATGTCATTCTTTTATAATTTCTTCTTCTGATGACAGAAGTATTATCATCTGGAATGTCGAACCACCTGCTGAGTTTCAAAATATTTATGATTATTGGAACCATGCAAAGATCTCATTCAATTATGCATTATATTCACACAAAGCTAGGATTTGGAAAAGTATAGTTATGGAGTCCGGTAATATTCTGAGTGCTGGAGAAGTAAGGATTCAAATCAATTTCATATAAATCAGAACTTTGCCATTTAATAAGATTATAATTAAATATTTTTCAAATGCAATGTTTAGGATGGTCAAATTTGTCTAAAAACTCCATCATTAACTTACCAATGGGAAGAAAGCAGAGGTTCTCAGGTTCGTAGTTTAGACTACACGGAGAAAAATAATTTAGTAGCTAGTGGATGTACAACTGGGAGTATTGGATTATGTTCACTGAACACTATACCAAAAAGTGAAATTTTAGCTGACTATGCATCGTCCAATCATTATCCAAAATACTTGGTGGTATTAAGTAATACAGATACATATGTTCTTTACTCTGATGGACATGTAGTATTTTACAAAAACAATATCAGTCATAATGTCTATCAGGACGACATTTTGTGTTGCACATTAACAATGGCCATATCCCCTTGTAAAACTAAACTTACTTTTACAACTAGTAGTGGATGTATAGTTATTCTAGAAAGTAAACATTATTCATTTGAAACATATTTATTTTAGATAATACTTTGGAATTTATGTTTTGATACATTTTTCAGTTATGGGTGAAAAATATATTCAAATATTTATAGATCAAATTTCTCCAGTTAAAATTTTATCTACTATTTGGTTAAATTATAATCAGATAATTTTAAATTTTGAAGGAAATATTATTCATCTGTACAATGTCATTGAAGGTAAACTTATAAATATATATATATATATATATATGTGTGTACAGCGAAACCTTCCTTAACGGACACCTCTAAATAGCAGACCCCTCCAAATAGAAGACATTTTTTCGGGAACATCAGGAATCTCTAAATATAGAACACTCTAAATAACAGACACATTTTAGAATAGATATTGATAGTTTTTATCGTAAATTAAGAATATAATTTTTCCATCTAAATAGTGGACAAAATTTCAATGACCGATATTTAGAGGTTTCACTGTATATATAATATTAATATATTTTATTATAATCTTGATTGAAATTTAAGTGTAACTACTAAGTATTCTTATGTACTCGTGTACTTAAAGACTTGCATTTAAGTCTTTTGGATACATTTTTAATCAGTTCAAAGATGAATTCTTGGATAACGGCTGCTACAATAATTAATAATCTAATCTTTGTTGGTTGTAATGAAGGATCTATTTGTTTATTCAAATTACATCAAAAGGTACTTACATTATTTTAAAATTGATTTAATAGGTAATTTGGTTTTGCTATTATTTTTTGTTTTATTCTTCACAGTTGAGTGCCTAATACAATTTTTATTTTTACTATTTAAAACCTAACCTAACCTACAATTTTAGAAGCCGTTGAAAGTGTTCAGTAAAATTCATAGTTTTGCTGGTGTGACTGCAATATGGACACATAAGAAATTTGAAGATTTTATAATTATTAGTTCTGTTGGTCGTGATGGTACTCATAGGTATTGGAAAGTTTGTACAGAATCAGAAACAATGATTGACATACGTTTGGAAATTTTACCTACCAAATGGCCTTTCCTAATAGTTAATTCTAATATTCATGGAGTATTGATTTGTGGTTTTAAAGAAGTGATAAACTCTAATGTTAAATATTTGTATCTTGTTTAAATAATATATTTTTCTCTTAGAGCAACTTAATTGTCTACAACCCAACCGAACAAACAATTTTAGCAAATGTTTTTTGCGGTGGTGGTCATAGGGCCTGGGGCCTGACTATTGATAACAGTTGTAATTCAATTTACTTTGTCTGTAGTTCTTCAAATAATCAATTGGAAAGAAAAGAAATCTCTCTTAATGGCCAACATATGCTTTTGGTAAATTAAAAGAATAATACGTATATTTATATTTTCGATACATAATTGATACATTTAATTAAAATAAGATATTGTATAATATTATTGTTATGTGTTGTTTACGATCATATTATATTTTAGAATGGTTTTCATTCAATGATTATAAATTCCATGGCAGAGGTTAATGATGATATAATGGTAACTGTCAGTGAAGATACTACTGTCCGATTAACACGATTTAATGATAAAATTCATCATCTGTTGACAATACGTAGTCATATATCATCTGTTCGTTCAGTAATTTGTCTTCCTGTAAAACCAAATGTGTACATTATTGTTACAGTTGGTGCTAGAGCTCAATTGAAAATTTGGTCTCTAAATATAATAGATGAAGGTTAGTAATAATTAGAACAGAGGACGTGTAGCTCTAAAAAAAAACATAATATTATGCAATCACTTATGTACTTAAAAACCCTAAAATATCCACTAAAAATAAGTTCTATAATTTTTTTTTTTATTGATTTAATAAAAAAAATTTAGTCATTTAAAAAAACATCTAAAATAAGAAAAACAATTACCTACTTAATTGAATTATATAACATACTATGAGTGAATTAATATAAAAAAGTACCTTTTTGACTTGATAAAATGTGTACTTTTAATTTGTATTAATTAATTAAATTAAACAGATATTAGTATATAACATTAAATGATTTATAAATTTGATTGATTTTTAAAAAATAACACTTAATATATTAATTTATGATTTTATTAATGATTTTTCGTTTTGTTAAATGTTATTTCTTAAGAAACTGTGGAAAAAAACCCTCAAAAGCATAAAAAAAAATCTCTAAGTGTCTAAAAAAGACCTAAATACACGATACAAGATTGTAAATTTGGCTTTGTTGTAACTTGAAACAAATATCGTTCAAACTGGTCTTATTTTACAACTGCACAAAATAAATATGCAAATGCTAAAAATCCTCTGCCCTAGTAATAATAAATGTATTATAATATTAAAATGTGTATTTTCTTTTTTTTTTTAGATATTTACTGTGAAAAGTCTGCGTCACATTTGTTATATAGTATTCAAAATAAAAAACTATGGAGGTTACCACCGAATGAAGGTGATATGCGCTTTATGGATGTCTGTGTTCAATATATTGCACCAAAATTAATTATCATTTTTATTGCATGTTCAGATGGGACTATTAGGTATGATTAGTACATAAATTGTATTAAGTAGTAATTAATTATTATTATTGTATTGTATTTAAAATATTAAACTTTAAAAAATTGCAGGTTATATAGATATGATATAAGTAATAAAACATTGAATTTACTTTTACAAAGTTTAAATTATAACTGTTGTATGTTAAAAATGTTAAAAATTCAGATAAATAACAATGATTATATTTTATCTACTTCTGCCAAAGGATTAGTATTTTTTTGGAACATTTCAGAGTTAAATTATGAAAGATTGGAACAAACATCATTAGATATAAAACCAGTATATCAATATAATTTACATCAATCTGGAATAAACTGTTGTGATTGGTTAGAATTAGAAAATAAATATTATTTACTAGCAACTGGCGGAGATGACCAAAATTTAAAGTTATCGGTTTTTCAATGTATTGTTAATGTAATATTCAAATGTGATGTTTCTGTTTTTGTTCATTCTTCTCAAGTAACAGGTAATTTTTAACTACTTTTAGATTCTGAGTGGAGCAAAGAAGCTTATAATTTTATAAAAAAATTTTTTTTTTTTTATCGTGCGCAACTTTTTTACTAGAGACTTGCTTAGATTTTGAAGTGTAGTATTTTTTTCTGAAAGGAAGTCAGTGTAGAGAGGTCATTTTTTTGATTTTCTCATGAAATGCGAATACCTAAAAAAAAAAAACAGGAAAAACAGGAAACTGGAAAAATTGGTACAACGTAAAACAAATATTAAAGAAAATATATAAAGCCTATTTAATTATTTTACTATAAAATGAATTATATTATTGACAAAGTATCATTATCAATTGAACTCCACTCAGAATCGTTTTTTGTAAGCAATGGTTTATCATTGCTTACAGATATACATTAAATTATCTATAATAATGGCTGCTCCCGTCTCCATTATCCTAGGACGTTTTTTTTAAACATAAATTGCAATTGATTTATATTTTTATAATACCTTTGTATTGTTTGGATTATTTTTAGGTGTTAAAGTTTTCAATAAATTTGTTGTAAGTGCTTCTGTAGATCAGAATATAATATTTTGTTCATGGAGTTTTGATATGAAAAATAAATCTTTAAAATTATCACCATTAACATCATATTTCACTACAGTTCCAGATATTCATGGTTTAATAGCTCAACAAATTGAGTAAGTACAAAATCATATTTAAATTTTATTATAATTTTTGCACAACAGGTTTTATATTTATTATTGTAAATTGTTTAAATTATACTTAAATAGTCATGTTATATGATATAATAGTCATATGATATTTTTGTATTCAACCAAAACTATGTGACTTGCCCATGAAAAATTGAGTTCAGTATTTGACCTGATTGTATTTTCGAGTTGATTTTCTAGTATAGACCATGGATATAGAGACTATAGTATCTACATGGAATTTTACCTAAAATCCTTGTGAAAAAAATTTGATGGAATAAAATCCCGATAAAAAGTGTATTTTTAAATATTACACAGTATAAATATATTAAATAAACATATTAAAAATACAAATTAAAAAATATTACATAACTTATAACATTATATTAACAAATATATCCTGAGCCTATAACCTTGGCAGTGTCTGAATATTATTTCTCACTTGAGTTAAAAACTCTTCAACATTTAATTGGGAGTTATTAATATGTACACACTATGGGAGTCTGATATCTAAAACAATTATTTTTGGTATTTCTATTGTTTGTCCCATGCTACTTAATGCTTAATCTTTGTCCTATCGGCTTCAATCTCAAGTTTAATTTTTTGAATTAGCTCCCATATTATTTGTACTGTCCTACCAAGTGTCATTTACAATTTATAGAGAGGTTTACTTCAATATTGTGGGTGGGGAGTGAGGACCCGGAATCCTCCTTTTTAGGTATGACCCTTATATATAATATAATTTGGTTAGATTCCTGATACCGAAAAGATAAATGAAAATTTAGTGACCCAACTTAATAAAGTCACCTACAAACAAAAGTAATTATTAAATTTGGGATTTTTTTCCCCAGACTGATTCTATCGGACTTTTTTCGCTGGCGATTCTATCAACACGGATTCAAATATCTTAGTTCGTGCCCCATGAGTGTTAATAATTGTGGTGTGCACTATATATAAGCTTTGTAAATACTGCCCATATTTTGAACTACAGCCCAATGATAACATCGTGATAAAATCATTATAAACACAAACCACGGATTAAAAGTGCCTTCATAGCTTGAAACTATCGCGAAACGTGAAATATTCTAGGACTTTGATTGGTTGAACCACATGGTTATTATGTAATGGTTAACCATTGATTAATCATCATTTTTGATTTTAATACATTCCCTATAATATCCATGGGGTATGGTACCCCCCCCCCCCAATGATCAATTTTATATTTGCCACCTACCATAAAAAAAAAAAATCTTGGCTTCGTAAACTGTCGAGAGGATTGGTAAAACACATTTTATCTTATACACACATGATATCGAAATTTAGACATATTCTATTTTACCGTATTGATTGAAGCAAGATAATGAAAACTTTATTACCTTATTATTTATAATAATTTGTAAAAATTTAAAAAAATATTTGTAATGAGATTCTGAACATGGTATGTCGAACAATAAAGACATTTTACTATTTAATAATATTACAGGTATATAATAAGTTTTTCATTACAATTATATTTGTTTAAATTATACTTTTATTGATCATATTCATTCAAAATTTTAGTTCGCCGCTAATAATCAACATGTTATCTATTATGTTACTGGCACGACTGCGCGATGCGACTATTATTTTAAATGTCAATTGTTATTTGTTATCTACAATGCTTTTCTATATTTATCGCCACAGAATATAACAATATTCTATCGTTATGATTTTTTCATCTTATGTTTTTCACATTGATTATGTAAAATACATTGAAAAACATATCACATTAAACCAGGGTGGACACCTTGCATTAAACATATGATGCGAATGATAAAGATATAGAATATGTCAGTATTATCCGATTCGTAAATCGTCACAAATAATTAATAAAATAATTAAATTCACGCCGACTATTAATCGTACGTATCTAATATCTATATAATTAATAATTAGTTAATAATATAATTAATAATTACTAATTAGTTATTAAGAGGACGTTATACCGGATGCCCGCATGTGCTGTCTCACTCCAACTAATGGCTAATGTAGCAAAATACCTACTTTATGCAGAGTGCGTAGACTTGCGAATTCGCATAATTTTTATTTTAGAGTAAAATCATTTATTTACAATTAAAAGGGGACAATATTCCGGAAGGCAAGACGATTCGTGTTTCCTATTATTCTAAATATTATTCCAAATATAACGTTCAAAATATCGTTTGGAAATAAAATCTAAAACAACATTTTTAAATTACCTACTGTAATATTTAAAAAAAGAAACGCATCGTCTTGCCCTCTGGAATTTTGCCTTTTTTTTTTTAATTCAATAATAGGTGCTTTTCTCTAAAACCAAAATTAAGTGAATTCCATGCAATCTATTTAAGGTAGGAATTAAGGTGTAACGTCCTCTTAAGCATTATTATATTTATTATATTAGTGAACTTGAAGCTATTACGCTCATTACCTTTAGTGAAAATTATGCTTACCTAGTTGAATTGTCAATCAACACAAATATTTATATTAGCTTTTTTTTTATACAGCAAAGTAATAAATGATTTACCAGCCGCACAGTTCTATTACACTCATCTATAAAATAATAAATAATAAATAATCTAATCAAAATTATCATAGTTTTATATTTTACTCTTTATTAATAACAATATATTTTCAAATATTTGTGTTATTTTATTTCTGAGCTGGCAAAGGCATTACATAACATAATTTATATTTTCACTCTTTTACTTATATTGAAAATCAAATTTTTAGTTTTTATGGTATAGATTTAAATACATTGTACAAAAACTATGACATTTTTAAAAATAATCTCAAATTTTGAATGCTAAAAAAAAAAATGAATTTTACGATGACAATTAATTCGTATGTCAATAGCGGATATACTTTTAATTCACTCATTGTAACCTGCCTATCCACTTTATCTTTTTAGAGTAAATAAATATGAAATATATCTATTATAAATTCATAATTAATGGTATGAGAATACAAATAATTGATTTAAATACCTAATGGTGTATTTAAAAAGTTGACATTAGATAATTATAATTACATAATTTAATTAGATTATAGATTAAATAAAAAATCACTTACTTATTAAATTGAGATTCTAGAATATTCTTCTTCATTTCATTATTTATATTTTAATATTTAGTATACAAAAAGTGATATACCTACCTAGCATCATAGGCGTCTTCAGGTTAATTCCATGAGGGGGGAGGCCTGCTTTGGTCAACAAAAACTTAAAACCTTTATATTTAACCTGATGGTATTTTAAATTATATTAGCTTAAAAGGCAGTAGATATATTATGCAAATGCAGTAAAACGGTACAATTTAAAAGTTGGATGACTAAATCCAAAATACTTTTATTTTATGCAGTGTTTCGCAAGCAGTTTGATTAAAAATATTTACTATATTAATGTTTTGATTTCGATAAATATTTAAAAGTGATAAGCTAGTTAGCCTCTGCTAAAAAAATTGTTTTACCACAAAGTTGGTTAGGGTTTGGTTAGGTTTTTAATAAACCTCATGTTATATTCTCAAGCATTTCTGTTTGGTCTAACAATTGTATCCACAGAATACCTACGAAATAAAAATTACTTATAAAACTCGCAAAATTAAAATGTCTATAAATCGATCAAAAATTTTACCAAGCCAAGTAAAGCAAATATAAGTTTTCTGTCCAAATTTCAAGTCTCTACGAATAGTATTAACTGAATTACAACATAAAACAAAATTAAAAATAATAAAAAAATTATTTTCGTAAATTTTCCCGTTTTTTTTGTGTTTTATCCTAGATTTTTTGATATATATTATGAAAACAACTTGGAAAATCAAAAAAGGTGCTACACTTACATATTGAAGGAAGATTTCTAGCAAAAAATTTTGTTACAGCATAAAAAAAAAAACACCATTGTAAATCTAATAGGTACATCCTTCGCTACACTTGGAATCTAAATTTTAAATTAAATTAATCATTTCCGATTTTGAAACTAAAAATATATTATTTTATTATATCTTTGCAAATTGATTGTTCCCACTTAGTTTTCTATAATTCTATCTTACCCTTGAGAGAATATTTATTGAAATTTATAAATGAGAAGTGTTTCGTTCTTGTTTAAATCAAAATATTTCCAAGATTCGGATTATCTTTATGGTATTTGGAATTGGTTGCATTTATACTTATTTGTACTTAAGAATTATGAATATTTTGTAAAACTGAAAAAAACATCACACGGATTATAGGGTTGCCCCTCTCTCAGAAACCCGCCTGCCTAGCATTATTATTTAATATAAATGTTATGCTAAATTTGAGTATAGATTATTTTTATAGAGAATTATTATTTTATTCAGGTACCTATTAATAGGTTTTGAGTCGCTAGCACAAACTAGTCCAAGGCTTATAGATTATAATTATATTGTATTTACTTTTGTTAAAGTGGAGATTTATTTGTAGTATTATATTTGATTAGGTTGATATATTAGTTTTATAATAGATTAGTTTATGAATTTCTGTTCAGTCTAATAACCAGCAAGCACACTACGTACCGCAGTCTATTGTCAGCATTAAAAATTATAACTTTTCAAGAGTATAGTAAATAGTGATACTTCGTGAGAAAAGCTACAAGAGGACAATTATTAAATTTGCCATTAATAGGATTAGACATAATATTATATAGGTAAGACGATTAAATAAATTAAAACTCAATTTAATTCTAAATTGTATAGTTAAAAGTAAATTTAATGTTTTGTACACTTTAATATTCAATACAATATGATAAATTATTAATTATATCCAGGATGATCAATGTAATGTAAGGCATTCATTATCTTAGAGATTATTAAATTTTATTGACATTTTTCTTTGAAAAAAATTAGAAACAAGCAGCGGTGTTACATCAACCTTATTTTTTTTTTTTTGTCCTTCATATGTTTTGTGAGTGAAACTATTATTTTGAATTTGAAATGACAACTTATATTAGAAATTCCATAAATAGATTAATTTTAGTTTAAATACATTTGTGTGTTTAAACATTTTTATTTTCTTTAATGAAATTAAAAGCTGCTTATTTTTTAAATTTTCCCAAAAAAATTCCAAAAAAAAAAGTAAATACTTTTCGAAATAATGAGTGTTTTATGTTATATTGATCTCCAAGCAAATGAGTAGAAACCAGAATTGTATACATTTGCATGTTCATACTAAGTTTATGCACTAATATGAAGGTTTGAAATGTTAGCATTTCAAATCCAACTGGTTCCTGACTTCTGAGACCAAATTCAATTTTGTATATAATTTCATGTTTGGAGGATTGGGGCATATTTTTTGTAAATGCATGTAATGTATATACTTTGTACAGTATGTATACTGTACAAATATATTAAATATATAGATCATATATTAAAAATATAAAAATGAAATTGTTTGAGAGGTTATATCTACCCAAAAATATAATAATGACATAAATATAAACGAGGCGTGATATATTTTGCATTATGAGTGAATGACTATGGATGGAAAGGTAGGATGCATAGAGTAATTATTTAGTGTATTTTTGTACGCAACGATAAATCATTGTTAAGGAACATTTATAATAACGGAAACTGTTATTGTATGAAATATTAAAGTTTTTCTCCAATTATTATAAGAAAACTATAAGGACTACAAATATTAAGGTTTAATATCGAAATGCATGATCCACCATTATTAAATTATATTAAAAGTGTATAATAGGTACCTACAATGTTATATATTTTCAAAACACCGTTCCTATATTGTATAGAATTTGATTATTTATTATTTTTAGTTGGTTGGTGGTATTTACATAGGTGCAAACTTTTTTTCAATTACCTTTTACATTTATCCAGGCTTTGAGTTTGCATGTTTGTAATGCTACTTTGATAATGTTTGTATTAGGTGTCTAATGTTTAAACAAATTTTATAATGATTATAATTGAAGGGTTATATTTTTCTGCAAATTATAAACAAATAAATTTGAATATTTGCTGTATGTTACAAAAAAATATATACTACTTTTAAATTGGATCCCTTCTTTTTGCCTATAACTAAACTAGGTAGTTATATTATAATCAGACCCATTTTTTAAACAAGAGCAATGTATTTTTTCATAATCAAACTTAATTATTCTCAGATTTAGTTAGAAAAATGACAATTGAAATTTGCAATTTAAATAACTCACCCACTTCTTAAAATATAACACCCTTTACAATTTTTCTTTTATTATATATAGCTATATTCAGTTCCATTTTAAACACTTAAAAAATAAGTTATCAAGATATTTTAGGAGGGTGAGTTATAACCAACTAACCTATCTGACTGCCACTAGCTATACCTTTTAAATAGAAACAATTTTCTAAGTAATACTTACCTAATAGCTAATTTATAGACAATAATTTATTTGATTTATTGTGATAATTTTGACTCTTATTTAAGTTCATTAATTACTGTTAAACTTTATTATAAATTGATTTTTTTTACCGACCCGCTTATTCATCCATTTTATAAGGTAGTTCAATTGAACTATTTAAAGTATGTTTGGTGTCACTGATTCATATGGTTTTTTTAAAAAAAGCTAGATTTTAGTCTATTTGAAATATTTTCTTTAATTCTCAGTTTATAAGTTATATAATGCTATTGGACTGTTGGTATAGTAGCATAAACCGACTTAAACTAGCATTGGTTGTATGTAAAGGTCACCAATTCAGTCTTTCAATTAGTTGTGGACACAAATGTCATGTACACATCTGTCACTACACACTTAATTGTAGGTACATACCATCTTGTAAAGTATACTGTGTAAACTATTAAGAAATAATGTAAATATTTCAGGTACTGAAACGATTAATATACAGAGTTTTCCAAATTTCAAATTTACTATAGTATAATAATTTACAAACTAAATGAAACTGAAACAGTTAAGCCTGTAGTTATACTTTTATTTGAAAATTTCAAACATTCGACACTGAAGTTTTCAAAGCCTATAAAAATAAAAGAGATTTTAATCTGTTAAGTATATAATAATGAAATAACCAAAACTTATGTATATTCTATAAAAATAATTTAATAACCTAGACTATTGGTTTCATTTTTATTTTTTCATCAATTTTTTGTATTCATGCCTCATGGACAAATATCCACGGGTATTTGTAATTTCTCTGGGTTGGCCTTATGATTTTTTTTAACGCCAATATTATGCGAAAAGGAAAAATCAATGTATTTTAATACAGTGAAATTCTCGGTTGATATACGATTTCTTTTCTAGGTCCTTGATTAAAACGGTATAATATTATATCGCGCTGGAACAAATTAAAATCAATTAAATGATTTTTTATAAGTTTAATGTTAAAAATTAAAACTATAACTTTTTTTTTTTTTATCGTTTTTGGGTTGCGTTGGAGGTCATATTTTGGCAGTGAAAAACTATATTGGTTATACATACAGGGTATACTACAGTGTTATTTTAATGCTAATAATTCTCTCTGTATTCATTTTTTCCTCATTGGGTTTTGTGCAAGGACATTTATGTAGGTACAAATTAAATTTTGATTTTCATTCCTTAATCATTGAAAAACAAAATAACTTTATTTTTTCACTTTTTAAAATTTTCAAAATAGCCAAAAAAAAAAAAATATATAAAATATATTATTTTAAAAATGTCCATGTATAATATATATTCATATCCTATAAATAGTTTCTCAGTTAAAATGGCTAGAAAAAAGGCGTAAAAATTCAATACAATTCTTGTGATCATAATTTCTTTTAATAAAATATATCGACTGGTTGGCTGGGGGGAAAATTCGACTCCCAGTAACGGAACTCCGCTGCCGTCTCACAAGTTTTTTTTTTTTTTTCCGATATAATTATTCGGTTGTTTTTTCGTCCGTTTATCTCACGAACGTAATCGCGCGGTTCAACAATAATATTTTGGCGGGTTACACCAAGACACGAGGTTTATGATAAGGTAATAAAGAAACGTTTATTTACAACATAAAGACATAAAACAAGTGATCGCCAGCAGACGGCTTTTGACGGGGGAAAAGGCGAGCACGCAACAATTAAAAACAACATTAGTTAAGAAAAACAATGTTACATAATAATTATTCGGAGTCGGAAAACAATGTTTCGCGAACGGCGTCGGTGCGGAGAGAGCGAGCGGAGCTGTGGACGATGATCGCTGAACGCCGACGGCGAGGGGCATGGCCGACGTCCGTCGCGAGCGACGCGCAGCGGGAAGAAGAAATGTAGCGCGAAACCCGCCACAATATTATAAAATCCAATAATAATTATCATATAGGTACTGTATGACGTGCGTACGTCGGATTTTAAATTGTCTACAACCTATACAAACGACGGACGTCCTTTAAAAATCGATGGGCACGAAAACAATTCGTTCGCCGTGCGGTTTGCCCATATTGTTATGCTTGCCGGCTATGACGTCGTCATCGAAATAAACTGCGGTTTCAAAAATTTAATACAATTATTATTAATATTATTAGTATTATAATAAACCGTAATAATATTATTGATTGCGATTGTTGTACGCGCAGTTAACGTGTTTTAGCCGTATACAGGTTGATTCGAAATGTATTTTACAATCTAAATATATTCAAACTAGAGTAAAATCGTCTAGTACAAAAATTGTTCGATTTACAAACATCTAAAATTATTCAAACGCCGCACGCCGTACCGTGTCACCACACAAGCATATTATAGTGTTCCACTATACTCTCATCCTACCTAAACTAAAATGTGGAACATCTCGTCAGCGGGTTGACGGTAATCAAACATGTCAACGCCGAAATGTATTTAAACTAGTAGTCCATTTATGGATGGAATTTTGAATACATAGATTTATATTTGAATTTCAAAAGGCGATCCCGAAAAAGACGGTAAAAAAAAAAAAATATAAAAGTTATTGTAAATGTTTATAAATCGAAAAACTTTTGTAATTTACATTTTTCTCCGTTTTAAATTATTACACGATAATATGACTGTAACATACAATTTGAATCACTCTGTATAAAGAAAGTGTATTTTATTTACTCGCGTTTCGATAAACTGTTTCCTTATTTGCGGATATCATGATGATGATAATATTGTTCATGACGTGCCTATAATATACGTACTTAACTAGGCTAATGTATAATTACGCATTGGACGTTAATATTAAGTATATAATATTATAATCCCTTTATTTTGATTATTTGGGAATATTGTTTGTTTTATAATGAACTGTTTACGTAGGTACCTGTTTACTATTGCGACATTATAATTTAACAACGCGAATTACTTAGTATGTGTACATAATATTATTTATTCAATATGTAATTACATGTACTGCAGCCACTCGAAAATAATTTGAATTTCGAATTAAATTCGATTGTACCATCGGGAATTATTCACTTAATTTTGGACTCCGAGTGTGTAGTGAGGAAACGTTATCACTGACTAGTATTACTGAGATGTGTTTCCCCTTTCTCCGGAAAAAAAAAAACTGTTGGCGAGTAAAATCCTCAGATTTTTGAACCTAGCTATCTTAAAATATGTAAAATTCACTTCTATTCGAAAATATGTTTTCCAGATTTCCTAAAGTTTCTCTATAAAATTGATTAAAAATCGACAACAAATTACATATATACATATTATGTTTTTGGATGTCGAATTTTCGCGTTACATCGGCTACAAGGCAACACACATCACTCCTATATACTACTCTGTTCAGAATCGATTTCGTTTGCAATGGATTATTCGTTGTGTGCAAACATAAAACAGATACTCTACATATACACTCCCTTCAAACTTTCCTCCTAAAATAGTAGTATATCATTCATCAGCGGTATCAGTTGCGTTTTATGTATCATTAGCTGACCCCGCAATGCTTTTCTAATGCTAGATAATAGTGTAAATAGTAGTAATAATAATAATAGTTTTCTTGTTTGTGACATCCAAATTATCATCCATATCACCAAGGTAAATCAACAATTAAAATTTAATCAATGTTCCAAAAATACCAAAAAACCCTGTGTCAGCTGTCCTTTAGGGGTTGAATTTCGTAAAAAAATTTATTAGTGGGTTTTCTACATCACAGAACGAAACTACTGGCCAAATTGTATGCTTATAGTTTCAGCAATCCCGACTAGGCGATGATGAATCAGTCGGTCAGTTAAATGTTTTCAAAAACTGAAATCAATAAAAGAAATTAAATTCTACTTGCTTGGTCTCTATGCCATTCCTGTCTCCTAATTTATTGCAAAACCTCTTTTATTCCCTTTTTCTTATCATTTTCTGATGTCAATAATATTTAAAATACTTATTTTTGGATTTTGTTTTAGGTACCATTAGGTTGACGTATAAATTTGTGTGTTTTTTTTATTATTATTATTATTATTCTACTAGTTTGATTTTTTTTGTACACGTTTTTAATCAAATTATTAAGTCATATAAACTCCAAGGGTGTGTTAATTAGAATTAATTAATTACATAACAGCACTCAATTTCTATAAACGGTTTTCGTTTTCGTAATATATATATTTTTTTTTTTAACAAAATCGAACTGAAAAACATAATATTTTATTTTTTCTATGTATTGTTTCATTTGTTTTAACTTTTTCTTTTTATTCATCCGTATCACCAAAGTAATCCATGAATAAACATAAATAAATAAACAATTAGATATTCGTACTAAAAATCCCTTTTTAACTTCCTTAGAGGTTGAATTTGAAAAAAATTGGTGTCGTGGACACATTCAGAGGAATATTTGGATCGACTTTGTGAAAAATAAACGTAAAAAAGTTCAACGGTGTCGTCTTCAGAAACGTAGTAAATAAAAAAAAGGTCTGTTCTTTTATATACATATAAAGATGTACCATAAAATAATGTATCATTTTGTTATAGATTATTAATTTGTACGTATCTCAATCTATACATATGCATGTATATGCGAACCCAAATTTTAATTGCTCGTGACAAAAATTTGACGTATAATTTTCACATATTTTTTAAGTGTCTATTATGATAGCGCGTTCTATAGTTACCGATTGCATGGTGACGTAATTATATTTTATTCCATCATCATAAGTTGATGTTTACGACTTACACGCACGACTCATATGTTCGTGTTCAAGGTTCACTCTATAAAACATTAAATTTAATTAACCGACCGTGCGCGTCGTCTCTACAAATTTAAATGTCTGATTAGACATTTGAAAACAATTTATGTAAAATAATATCTTTTTTCGAAATTGCCGAAATCTGACCAGGCAATAAGTTTGCGAGTGGCAGAGTGGAAACTGAATTCAGGCCAGGAGATTAAAGTTTGTCTGACGTTTTAGTTTTAGTTGAGCCGTTGAAGGGAGCTAAATACGTTGTTACTTGAAACATGGACGAAGATAAGAAGGGGTGTGGGAGTTTCGACTCTCCAAAAATTTAAAAATGTGATTTCATCAATATGAAATTTAATTTAATAATTTAAACGAAAATGTATATAAAAAAAAAAAACTTGATAGGTACCGAAACAAGAATATAATATTATAAATGTGTCATGGCATAACTTTTTTATTAATTTGTTAAATAATACGAGGAATTAAAATATTATTTACACCTATCAGGCCACCAGGTCATAATATTCGATCCAGGCCATCTGGAAAATTCCCATTTCCAGACTAGCTACTCCACCCCTGGTATATACTCGGTATTAAATTTAGATATATATCGCCCCCCCCCTGGTATTTTGTTTGATCTCCCATGTTAAATGTAAGTAAATCAATAATTAATTAAATAATCAAACACATTTGACTGGTCTTAGTAAAAGGGTGGATAAGTAAAAAAAAAAATAATAATAAAAAGGTCATTACTATAGTTTTAGTAATCCCCCCCCCATAGAAAAATTTTCTGGATTCAACAATGCATATACTTGTGTTGGTGACGGCACTACATGACATTGTACAGATCAAAGTGATATTAATATTAGTTCCGGCAAAAAGTTCCACGGGGGAACTTAACAAATCGAGTCAAATTAATCAAATATTAGTCTCCAAAAATTAAAACGCCGCGCGCTGTACCGCCACACAAATGCCACTCCATTACTCTCCCCCCGTCCAGCCCAAACTTAAAAGTAGAATATCTCATCAGCGGACTGACGGAAAACAAAAAATTTCAACGCTAAAATGTATTTCAATATTAATACTCCATTTATTTATGGAATTTTTTTAGTTGCTATTTAAAAATCAAAAGTAGGTATAATGATTTAACCCCCAAAAATAAGGGTGAAAAAAAATAACGTAAATGTAAAATCGTATAGTTGCTTGTTTCTCAAATGTTCTATAAACAAATTCTGTAAAAAGTTAACACTATCCGAGGTAATGAGTGTCTCACGATGATTGCAGATCACCCTGAAACGATGAAATGTTTAAAAAAAAAAATTCGTTGAAAACCACTCCGTGTAGGTTTATTTTTCTTGAAATAATACTCTTAATTTTTCGGATGAACGTACTGTAATATTAGTGTACAACCTCGAGTTTATTTTCCATCGTGTGTTTGTTGCAAGTTTATACGAAGCGATCTTTTACGTCTTGGCCCTTGTCTCACGCAACAGCTACTTTTATTCTCGCCCTCCACGCAACCCCTTCGTCCATCACCCTCGCCCTCGTACTTCGCCTAATAACCACTATTATACCTAACTATATATTACAACCCAATGAATCGCCGCACAATACGACTAATATAATGTTAATATGCATATTAGGCGGGCGCACGCGATTGGTGTTACATTAGAGTAATTTATTGAGTTTATTCCAAGGACGGCGTGTATTAGGTTTTGCGATACCCGTGTGTGACGGTGACAACATATAGGCGGGTACGTGAGAGAGACCCTTCAGACTAACGGACATGCGCGCAAGGCGTCAAATATTGATAATTCGTATATTATGTGGCATTTTGGTCTCTCCGTCGTCGCCCCGATAATTGACCGAAAACGTTATCGAATTCGTATGAAAAGCAACCGAGATCATGCAGCATACAAAAGCTGTGCAAGTCGTTTAAACGGCGTGTTCATATAACGCGTTGCATCAGTTGGTCTGGTCACTCGTTTTCAGTAAAGTTTCGAAGCGTGCGAACTAAATACAGTAGTTGGGAACGACACGTGCCGGTTTCGAGGATAACCAGAAAACAAATGATATTATTACCTCTGCATTTATCACGCAATATTCGGGATCGAGACTTTCCGTAGGGACTGGTGTATGTAACGATTGCAATGTTTTGCGCACGTGTTAACCCCTAACAATAATATATTATTACCGTGCGTTTCGTCCGTTTATAATACAGTGTTACATAATTTAAATAGTTACATAATTTATGATAATAATGTTGTACTTACGAGCGTTTTGTCCATTCCGTTTTCCAGTGATAGTCAATTCAAAGTGATCGTGTACGGCAAAGGAGCGGAAACGATTAACGCAGATATGAGTTTCTCAGCAGACCAATCGTCGACGGCGCAAAAGGTATTGTACATTCATGTCCAATATATTATTACCGTATACCGTATTATAACGCAAAAGCATTTTTTTTTTTTTTTTTTTTTTTTTTTTTAATTTGTTTTTCGATTAACGATTAACGCGGAATGTACGCCTATTTTATTTACTTTTCAAAATTGTATTTTTGGGCATATTAAGAGAATGTACACTGATATTGTAAATTATTGTAATATTGTCATTGTACGTTCGTTATTTTTTTTTACCCCGAGACGGCCGAAACCACTGTTGAGTTTGAACGTTAAAACGGTAACCTGCATCAAAACGTGACAAATATATACTAATTGCATACTATAAAGATGTGAATTATAGTAGAACGTTTTAAATACGTTTTCCGTTTCCAAAAGAGTTTGTAGGTATACCTGCTTTTCGAGTTAATGAGCGCAAAAAAAAAAAAAAAAAACGTGTTTTCACTGTTATACTATTTTGTTGTTATACGACGTTATCGTATACCCTCCTTTTACCTCAATTCTATTTTTTTGTTTTCATTCTTTTCTAATCATAAATGTATTATATACGTCAGTGTTGTTAAAGTTCTTTTTAAAAAAGAATTCGTTCCCGTTCCTCGTTTCTCTGCAAAAAAAAACAACTTGTTTCCATTCATCGTTCCTTTTAAAAAAAAATTCGTTCCTGTAAGCGTTCTTTTTTTTATGAATACCTTATGCACACCAAAATAATATTTTTATATTTTTAATCTGAAAACAATAATATCACTAATGCTTTTGCTTTGGAAGTATTCATATATATATATATATAATTAATTTAACATTGAGGATTTTCATTTGTTATTTGTGTAGATACCTACATATAGTTTTCATAAAAAATAGGTGTAATGTGAGTACTGTATGTTAATCACAAGTCAGTTAAAATTGGAAACTATCGTCACTTCTTAGAGTTGACATGTTTAAAATCTTAATAAATTAAATTAAATATATTTTCTTGTTAAAAACAAAAGAATTACCTACAATATTTTCGTTTTCATTCCTAAAAATAATGAATTAATTCACGTTCTTATTTCTTCAAAAAATAATGGAATTAATTCCTTCATTTGTTCTTCTGAAAAGGAATCAATTCAAGGAACCGTTCCTTTAGGGCTCGTTCCTTAACAACACTGATATTCGTATAGGTACATCTGTATACATTAATTATGCGGTCATAACTTTTAGTCGTCGAATATACAAACTTAATAGATCACTGGTCCCAGGGAAGAATGGCTAATGTCAATTTTTGTATAATTTCCAATACAAGCGAATTAAATTTTGAAAATATACACGTACACTAATATAAACGCACGAAATACGATAATTTTGAACTCTTTTGATTACAATAATATGCTATTCAGACTGAATAATTGTACGTAAAAAAAAAAAAAAAAAAAAAAAAATGCCAAAAATATAATATGTACCTACCTATAACGAATCATCGGTACTAGCGGGTAGCCTTGTTATTTGTAACGGGATTGATAAATACATTTTTTTTGACCATCGGTCCATTTCCGTTGTGTTCTACGCGTCCGTAACTATATCGCTACAAAAATATTATAATATTGTACAGGTAGAACGTTTTTTTTTTTAGAAAATAATAAGTCCAGGGTAAATGGTGTAACGGGGGAATAGGTAAAAAAAAAAAAAAAAGAGAGAATACCGCAATACCCACACCCGATCGGCAGAACCACCGGCGAATGACGTTACTACCGCCGCCCGTCGTTCGGAAACTTCGGTGCAGGAGGTACCTATATAAATACGGCCGTTTATTCCCGGCCGTGTATATCGGTTAGGTTATGTTCGCGCGTCCGCTCGTCAAAATGCCCGTACCGAACGACAGCGACGATAACAACAACAACAATAATTATTATTGTGATTACCGTCATCGCCGCGTGATTTTCTCGTTTGTGTGGCTGCTCGGCTGCTCGATCGCGTTGCCTCAGCCGAATCACGCCAATCGTTCCGCGGATGAGGTGACGTGCTGCGATACTATAATATATGATATTGTTTATTGGGGCTCGGGACTTTTTGCGCTTATAATCCGCAAAAAAAATTTAAAAACCGGTAGAAGCGTTTAAACGGCTCTCACTTATTAAATACAATTATCCAGCGCTACATGAATTTATTACAGTTATTTTTGTACAGTTCGTACGGTTTTATTTGAACAAAATTACTTTTTGTTAATTAATTGTGTTCTTTTTTTCAGGGATTTTTTGACATTTATAAGCGATTTTTTGTGCATTTTAATTGCAATAAGTCCCGAGCCCTAATTATTATTATACGATTGGTTTTATCTTCTCGTTTCCCGAATGTGCTCGCAGAGAGAAAACCGATTTATGAATAACACATTGCAATTACTGTCTCGATTTTTCATAACCCTTTTTCACTATGTATACAGGCGATCAAGATAGAAGCCGTCACCCCGGCATTGGAACTCGGAGAAGGGCCTCATTGGGACATATCGACGCAGAACTTGTATTTCGTCGACTTGCACAAATCGAAAATTAACAGATATCATCCGGAAACCGGCGATTATTTTAGCGCTACGATAGGAGGTGTGTACTTTATTTGAAAACTGCGATCGTTTCGTATTACGATATAGTAAAAATTTAAACGGTCGCGAACGGTCGGTTTAAATTTAAATAATAAAGCAGCCTTTTGACGCGAGAACTTCTTTTGAAGAAAGTTGCGATTGATCACCGCGGTTTAAGAACCGCAAAACGTTGACCGAAAAAACGGTTTTTCGTTTCGGGTTGTTTTTTTGACTTCTTGACCGGTGGTGTCGTTAGTTTTTACTACAGGCTTCTTGTATTTGCATGTGTTATCTTACTATTGGAATACGATCCCCAAATATATTCGGTGCCTTAGCTAATCCATATTTTTAAAGTATTCTATTATGTAACGTCTTTCAGCACAATCCATTGAATAGCGTCCTTTTTTGTTTGTATATATATATATTTTAATAAGTTCTGTTATCACTTACTTATTCAATAATGGCCCCTACATTTTGGTGGCCAGGGGCACTAAACCGCTATATAACCCTATTTTTCTTCGACACTGACTTCGCTCTTTGCTTTCTGATTTTTTTTTTTCTTGTGTGACTAATCATTTAATTATATATTTTACAGTCCAAAATGAGAACGGTATTATGTTTTCGATAAAAACGTCCGTATGAAAAATTAATGTAGGTTTATTGGTTGCAGGAAACTATAACGGCCCCGTGTCGTTCGTCATACCGGTCCAAGGACAGGCCAACACTTTCACGGTCGGCCTGCGCGAATCGTTTGGTGTGGTCAAATGGGACGGACTTACCCCCGTGACCAGCCCCCCCGAGTACTTGAAACTAGTCGACGACACGCCCGGCGTCCGTTTGAATGACGCCAAGGCCGACTTGACAGGCCGCCTGTGGCTCGGTAAGTGACTTTGTGGCCGGTATTTATTTTACGTTATACCGTAGTTATTGTTATTATTTTTTTTCGTTTCCAAGGAACCATGGGAGGAGAAATAAAAGAAAACCCCGGAAATTACTACAAGCACCAGGGTTCCTTGTTCTCGGTAGAACGCGATGGCATAGTCGTCAAGCGTTTGACGAGCGTTAGTATCTCCAACGGGTTGGCTTGGAGTTTGGACAACAAAGAGTTGTATTATATAGACACGTACAAGTTTGCGGTAGAAGCGTATGATTTTGACATTGGTTCAGGAGAACTCTGTGAGACCATCACCATAAATATACTGTTCGTGTCGTGATAAATAATTGTGATTTTTTTTTCAACTGTGTAGCTAATGGCAGAGTGATATTCGATCTACCGGCTAACAAAATTAATGGCGATCCCGATGGCATGACTATCGACACCGATGGAAACCTTTGGGTGGCTTGTTTCAATAGTGATCTTGTAAGAATAGTTTTATGGTTACTTCTACACTGTCACCAATAATTTTATGTTTAAAAAAAAAAGTCGTTCTTATATTATTATTTTCTTGTTCACAGATCCTAAAAATTGATCCCAAAACAGGCAAGTTGTTGTTGACTGTTCATCTGCCTGCCTATCAGATCACGTCTGTTGCCTTTGGCGGCTTTGATTTGGATGAGCTTTATGTGACTACTGCCGCGCGTTTTCTCACAGAAGAACAAAAATCTAAGAAAAAGCTTTCTGGTGCCGTATTCAAGTTAACAGGAACTGGTTCTATCGGTTACGCTGGCGTTCCGGTCAATTTACACTTGTGCCCAAAAAACGAACTGGATATCATATAATAACTAAATAATCTATACGACAGTCAATACTCTGTACTGTAATAATGCTCTGTAAGTTTGAATTATAATAGGTATTACAATATTATTATTTTTTTAGTTATCATTCAAATATGGGTTTATTATAATATTTATCATAATGCTATTTATCCTAACCTTGTGTAGAGTCGCCACCTATGGCCATCTTGGAAATTTGTTTTTATTCATATTAAATATTTATCTATCATTATTGATACTGGCCATATGTGTTGACTCCACCTAATAAGTACTATTTATGTAATTTAATATAATTTACAACTATTTATGTAATTATTTGTTTTCAATTATAAATGAAAAATAGGATTAAATAATTTTAAATGTATTTGCAAGTTGAATTTATTTTGAATAAATAATAAGGATGTGATATTTTTTATTTTTTTATTGTTTAAGCAGCCAATAGATAAAATAATATGATCAAAACCCACTGTTAGGAGTTGATAGGCAAATTAAGGCTGGCCTGGGAGAAATGTGGCCTTTACGACCCATGTTATGGTCATTATGCCATCACCATTGCTACAGTCCATATTGTTAAAAATGAAGGCAGCTCACTGGAAAAATTCTGGTTTTCCTGTAGGCCACCTACCTGCCCCTGTTATCAATTTTATTAAAATACATACACTTGTCTAATAATGCGCAGTGTGTGATACAACCACAAAATAGATGATCATATAAGAAAAGAAATGATATAGATTCGCATAATCTACATACAATAGTACAGAAAGTTATTTGGTTTTAATATGTAATTGAGAAAAAACAATGGAAAATGTAAATGTTCCTTTATAGTTGTTAGTTTAATAATCTTATAATAATTAGTGTTATTATAATAATTTATAGTAGAATGTAATTGGACTGAAAACAATACATTAAATTTAATAGAATAATAATAATAATTGTATCAAATCAATGACCTTTGTATAATGTCTTTTGTGCGCGCAAATCTACCATGCTATTTGTTATAAAAATAACTTGGGCGTGCATTTCGTTTTAATTTCCACAATTAACTGTCTAAAAACCTGTAACGATTTAATGTTCGTGTTTACGGTGAGAAAAAAGAAATAGTTAATTCGACTGATGTAATCGTATCCCGTTTGTCCTCTTTGGTTCCCTCCTTTCACTTGAAGGTGATCATATTGGCTCCCAATCAATATTTCCCTTCCCATTCTCACAGGCTGAGAACTGACAACAGTAAGGGGAAATTCTCTGTAGGCATGGTTAAAAATATTGTTGACGTTTAAAATATATTTTAAAAAATTGTGATGATCTAAATGAATGAACTTGAAGGAAACTTATGACACACTCCCCTTTAGTAATTTTTCTTTGTTTGAACTGATAAATAAATATCTGAACTCAATCACATAGAGCTTCACTTGCCTTCCCTTTCTAAAAAATACTTATCTGTTGACGTGTTAGAGTAGTGTCTTATTGTAACCAAGATTTTGTTCCACTGTAACTCCCTTCAACAATTTTATGAAAGTCGTACACCCACGTTTTGTACACTTCCACCGTGCAATGCCTTCTGAAAGATTTTTGTGAAATCCAAATTTGTATTTTTGTACTTTTATTGTTAACCAGATTTGATACCCATGAACTCCATCATAAAAATAATAAAATTAAAGAAAAACTCGCTGTCACAATTCGTTATCGTAACGGAAGGCGATACGGCCACTTGTCCGACTGCAAGGTAACACCCGGATCCGATACGGACTCATTAAAGACAAGCGGGAGTCGATACGGTATCGTCCAATTCAACGACCCAGACAACAGATTTTATTGTAATTTGTCATAAAAATCAACGAGTTTAGAGGACGTCAAACATGCATTTGCCTCTTCTGTCAATATAACAAAAATGTGTTTTCAGACCTACTTCTAATAGTAATCAGACCTCGATGGTCGTATAAACTTCTATTTCGGTAGTAAAATAAGCACGAAAAGAAGTTGTATTAAATGTGTATAGAACGGGCTTTTTTAAATCTTATTTTATTATATTTATTATTTTATGTCCATTTTTTAAATGGAAACTGAAAATTTAAGTACGTGTAGTAAATGCTAATATAAAATATTATTCTGAAGAAATGTCAAGTCTACGCAGTACAGGTAAACTACCGCCGGGGGTACACATTTTTTCCCATACTCATAAATCCACCTCCCCCCTCCACAGTACCGATCATTACTAAACTATTTGATATTTTATTGCTACGAAAACAAAATATCTGATCCATAGAGTAGATAATATGAAAATCGAGCCACTATACACACAAAAAGCATCCATCAATACATTATTGTAAAACCAAAATAACAATTTTGCTTAGCTAAGAATATAAAATCGTGGATATTTTAATCGTTTACTGTCTACGATTGTTTCTAAACCAAATTACAAAACAAAATCTAGAACAACAAAAACAGCTTCCATCAACTAAAAAAAAATTTGCTACCAGAAGCTATGACTGGTGAGAGCAGACTTATGATGGAAAAATGGTTAATAGAAAAAATAAAAAAAAAAAGAACATGCAAATCAGTAAAACCAGTACATTGTTCCTCTCGTTTCGCTCAGAATCTATAGTTGTCTATTTTTTTTTAAATTATATGTAATTTATGGCTTATAATATACCTACCTAACAATGATAAACCAATATGTTTTGTTTTCTTCGTTAATAAATAATAATACATTGATGAATTAAAACGAATACTATACTACAGAGTGATAAACTCAACGTAAATCCTTTATTATCTCGGAAAGTAATATATTTTTTCGAATTCAGTTATTTCAAAATTATTGCAAGAAACGACCCGCTCTAAAATGTTACACGAGCGTAATTTTGTGACACCCTTATTTTTGGAAGCAAAACCACTATAGTTATCTACTTTTGAGTTTAGACTATTAGTATTAGTTTGAATACTCCGGTGTTGATTTCCGTCATTCCGTTGACGGGATATTTCACTTTAAGTTTGGATAGGAGTAGAGTAGTGAAACTAGTATTCAAACACTGCCGCCACACAATATTAATGATTGCCCACTACTCTCTCCCTGCCGAAACTTGAAAGTGAAATATCTCGACAATGACGGAGGTTGACGGAAATTGAACGGTTCAACGGCAATATTGATTTGAACTAATACTTCAAATATTTATGGAATTTTTTATAAAATTCCATTTTATGCCGTTTCGTTTCTATTATCCCCGATAATAAGGACGACGAAAAATTCAACGCTAATGTAACATTCTCCCGATCACCCTATCTGCGGGTACTCTATAATACAATTATCTATTGTCGGTTCAATATAGTGGAAAACCATCATAATTTGTCGGGCCGGTGAAAGCCGGTGAGATGACTTCCGTGAAACCCTAATAGCATATAGATACAACGGCTACAAATTTCCGGAAATTAAACATGCTCTAACCGCAAATTGAATTAATGAATTTGAAAATATTAGGTATAATATGAGGTACATTCTATAATACCTACTAGAGCATTTCGTAGAATTTCCGTGCGCCATTTTCATTAAAAAGTTATACCCCGGAAGTATAGTAACGAGTAAGTAAACGTAATAATATCAAATAATATAAGTACTATATAATATTAATATTAGATCGACGGTGTGATAGTATTAATATACAGTAAAACTTCCATATAACGGTCACCAAAGGGACCGGGAATAATGACCGCTATTAAGAGATGGCCGTCCCTTTAGAGGTATCCTACAGAGGCACAACACTTGACGGGACCATAAAAAAATTACCGTTACACAGCGGTATGATCGTTAACGGAAGTTTTACTGTATTATATGCGGATCGTAGCCACTTTCTTCCAAAAATAAAATAGGCGCGTTAGATGAGTATTGTCGGTGTCGTGGAAAACGGAATGTGGGTGAACGGCGTATTTACGAGAACAGCCAGATATTATATCAATCTCCTTGACACATTAATTCAATATATATTATTTATATGGCAACCTATAATTTTTAAATTAAAATCCATTTACATTGTTACGGACCCTGTCCTTCACGTGTAATGTTTGTTGATTATAAATTAAGAATTTCACGCGACGAGATATGAAATCGGTCGTCGCACTAAGCACACGCACGTTAGGGCCGTTCATACGGTCGTGGTAAACCGACAACGTTCCCGTGAAACAACGGATGGTACGTGTTCATGGGCCGAAAGGAAAACGTGTCCGGGTACGGACGATGTGCCACCAGTAGACAACGGCGGCAGGGTCCACCACCACCTAGGTACGACCGAAGCGAAAACCATTTATAAGGAGACCGGAATCATCAACAAACGAGCGCCTGAACTCAGTGAGGGGTCGAGACAGCTACACCACCACCGACGCACGAGAAGGATGAGCACCGTCACCTCGACACCAACCCGGTCAGTCATTTCTTTAGTGTACTTACACCTGATAATTACAACTGAGTCTTGACCCGGGTCTGGTGTCGCAGGGTTTTCACTTGCAGATACAATTTGTCAACCATATAGTGTTCTAATAAAAAACCATTTGTAGACCTAACACACGTGTACATCTTCCCATTAAAAGGCTGTGTCCGAACGGCCCGTAACAACATTTTAGACGGGAAAAATCGACGATTTAATGTATTTAGTACCTATTACATTCGTATTAGATGTTAATATATAAACCCCCCCCCGAACGCACGTATAGGAACATTTTCTTGTTTAAAATTTAACTTACATCCGAACCATTGTAATACGGAGGAGGTCGTATAAGTATCTAGATAGTACATCAATTTTAATAATAATTACTTACCTACGGGTTTACCCATTTATCTGATATTATTGATTATATAAAAAAAAAATTTAGGCAAATGAGCCTGAATATTTTTTTTCAATAAACAAATCATAAACTTAGGCGGGCGTATGCTTTTTTCAGGGTATGCAGAAGACTGCCACTAGCGCCCCTGAAAATTATTTTGAGCTCGTAAAATTCTGATATAAAAATATATACAAACATTGAAATGTTTTACTAGCTATTCAATTAAAAATGTAGTTTTTACTTAAAATTCAAATTAAATTAAAACATGAAACGTACATATTTTGCAAATATTTGATTCAACTCGTAATATGGTTTTGTGGACCCCGGGGACGTAGTCCCTGATTCCTCCCCCTTAATCCGGGCCTGATATTCAGAGTATGTAGCTGCATACCCTGAATACCCCATGCATACGCCTATTATCATAAATGTCGAGTTCTCCTACTATTCAACCGACAGAGCGAAGCATATATTTAGAATAAAATGGAAAGTAGGAGGTACTTTTGTTTTTGGAAGATGAAAACGGTATCTCGTTTTTGGTGTAAAATCGTTTCGCCCAGATTGTATTATAGGTATTGGTATCTTAGCGATGACATTGTATTTTGCTATTTGTTTCTTTCTCCTAATTAATTTCACTTTTCATATCGTAAGTATTTATGGGGTTTTTTTATTCTTTTTTTTTTTTACAATGCGTTCGTTACGCTTATCGTTTTTCGTGTACTTAAACTATTACTACTATAGCTGTTGTTTATATTTTTCCGTACGACCGGTCAGCGCGTTCGACTTTCTGAAATGGAAATTAAACGAAAACGTGTGTGAAAACGATTATATTATTAATAATAATTTATTATATCTGAAAGCTATGGAAACTGAAATGATTTTTATTTTTTCCGTAATTTTCACTGTGGTATAGGTCGGTGGTGGCAGTACCAAAACCGACGAAAAGATTCGAAATTTTCATCATCTGACCAGAAAAGAGCTAAATCTGTACGCGATAGCCCAATGGAATTACCACACCAACAGAAACAATGAGACGATAAGGAATGCGGTAAGTGCGTAGTGCAACATCACTGCTCGGGGTTGTCGTTATGCAAGAAAAAAAAAAAAGAAAAACTTGTAACCCATAGTGTGTAATAAATCAATACTTACCAGTGGCGTATTTAGGAATATTTCATGGAGAGGTCCACACAATTTTTCAAACTAATTTATATATTCAGTAATCTGAGATCACTAATGTATATACCAGTCTACAATAAAATATGTTATTTATATTGAGTATAATTTCGTATACCAGAAATGTAATAATAACTTCGGAATTCAGTGTGGTGAGAGTATTTCCATCATAAATATTGTTTATCGAAACTGGTAACGATAACACAGCAATTAATTTAACTATAATTTTTGTCTTTATTTGTTTATAAATACATTACGAAAATAAATAAATTATTATCGGTTTTTAAATTTTAACCATTTTCATACAGCTATTACTCATAAAAAAAAATCCAAATGAGGGGGTAAGTTTTAACACCCAAAATCTACTCGTGTGTACGCCACTGAATTGAGTAATGCTTAATATCATTGGACATATTATTTGTATCTACGTGGAATCGTCGACTTTCTCGTATTTAAAATAATTGTTTTAGATTCTGAACGTAACGAGAGATGCATCCCACATATTATAGTTTCACTGTGTGTGTGGGTTTTTTTCCTGTTGGTAAACGACTTCTCGACCAGGAATCATGCTCCGATCACCAATTTAATTCATTAATGGTTTCTTGTAGAACGATTTTTTCTAATTACAGAGTAGGCCATTCTTTGACGTTTTCAATAATGAGTGAAAACCGGGAATAAAGGGAATATTAACGCAATAACGGTTTTTGGATATGGCGATTTTGTTTTTTTTTTTCGTTGCTTTTAATTCACTGAAGAATAATCGAGGCGCCTAAAAAATTGTCGCCAAATACGTATATTCCTACTGTTTAGACGTACTTCAATATTCAATTTATTTATATGTATTTGATATTTTTGAGGTTTTTTTTTTTTTTGATTCTATATGAATATAAATATGTTTTTTAAATTATTTCTACTGTCTGTTTAAATTCAAATTTTTGATGAAATTTTGTAAAAACACGCACACTAATTATAATTATTTATTTAATTACAAACGAATGAAATTTTCTATTTAAGGTTATTCGAAACGCGATTAAACGAATTTAGCTTTTCGTTAGCAACGATTTATTAGTTACAAATACATTTACACTGTGTATGTTATACTACTTTTTTACCTATACCAATGGCCTAAAACACTAATAAGTAATAACACTACCCGGAGCTCATCATGTACAAGCAGAGTATAATGTAGCGTTAATGCATAAAACCAGAGGCACAGGAACTATTTTTCATTTAGGGGGGGGGGGTTGTTAGAAGGGAAAAAGTATAGTTGGTGTAACTATCCATAGTTAAATCATAAATTATACTCCCCGAGACCCGTCTTTCTTCCCTGATGGTGATGGCTAATTTATAATTTGTATATATGACTTTTCGTCTTACTAATATCGCTATGCGTTTATTTTATACATTTTATTTTTCGTTACTCCAACCCGTCCCACTTCCCTCACGAAGAAATGCTGCGTGCGGGAGCCATGTTATGACGATCGATTGACGTGTTCGAATCGCAATGGCATTATCGTAACAGCCACTAATCTGACGTCAGTAATATTATATTAATGCAACAGTGCAACGCACTGTACATAATAAACATGGACGTAAAATGAATCGCTCGGTTTACTCCGTAGCCGGGCGCTCTCCCTATAGAAACTATTATTATACCTATCAATAAATTATAATAGTTCGTCTATTGTCCGATACGTAAACTTTGTCGCGTAAAATCGTTGACCCCGCAGTATTTACGGCACTCGACATAATAATATTATTGGAGTTAATCGATGTTGTACAATTTCGCATATTGTGTTACGGCGTTTCGATGTTTATCGTCGGTACTTATCTGTGTTACACAGGAGGATCTTTCAAATGTCACGGTACCTACAGTCGAATTCACTATAAATTACTTTTTTCTTCAATAAATAACATACCTACTTAAATATTTTATACGTTTAATTCAACACGTTCCATGATGGGATCCACTTTTGATTTTTAAATAGCAACCTACATTTAAAATTACACAAATAGACGGAGTATTAGTTTAAATGCATTTTGGTGTCAATATTTTTTCCTTAACTTGAAAGTTAAAAATGGAATCTCTCGTCAAAGGGAGATAAAAAAACGTCAACACGAAAATTACTCTAAACTAATACTCTATTTATGGCATTTTCAATTACAGGTTGCTATTTGGAAATCAAAAGTGGGTAGCCGATTCACTCCCAAAAATAAGAAAAATGTAAAATATATAAGATTATAAAATGGTTTTAAATAAGTATAGAAAATATAAGTAATTCGTAGAAAATTCTACTGTAACATTAATTTTGAAAACCTCTGTTTAATATTGAACTTTCTCGTATCATTCGAGTATTACCGTATTATTTCGTCGGTTTTAATATTATAATTTATATTTCACGGAGATTGTCAGTACCGAAATGTATTATAGTTATCGATTTAAAGAAACTCATGGATGATACATATCGTGGATCATATAGTATACACAATAATCTCGTGTTATAGTATTTTATACCGGTATTATTCGTTCAAATCTGTTATAAAAACAGGTAATTTTTAAGACCCTTTTCTCGTATTTTCTCAAAGAAAATTAAATATTTTTTTGTATATATATTCATACTGATACTGTAGTTTCGTCAACATGTCACCGTGGGTACCAATGGAACCAGAAACGAACGAAAATATACGTTCATAAATATCCAAAATTCAATTTTGAACCCCCGTCGCTAAGATGAATAATGATGAAGAATGAATAAAGATTGAAATAAACTATACCCTATTAGCACTTTTCTGAAACCACGTAAAAAAAACACTCTAAAAAAAAAAAAATGTCGTAAAAATCCGTCAAATAGTTTTTAATATTCAGTTGAACCCGTTCAAAGGCACTTATTCGTTTAATGAATTTCATCACTTTTTTTTTTTAACACCTGTATTTAAATGCTTGCAGAGATATTATACATTATCTCAAATAAAAACATCTGCTGGTAATTTATCTGCATCTGTTTCATCTCTATTATTTAATTTTTAAGTTCCTCTTTGACGTACCCGCTGGTCTGTTCCATCTCGAACGATCCGCTTCGTATTGGTTAATGCATTCAGGCACTAATATTTTGCGAAAATGTAAATCCGTCACGTGTAAATGTATTAAACTAAATTGTGCCAGTTATTTTATGTAAAAATAACTTCCCCGTAAATAAACAATAATAAATAATCTGCATGTAAGCGCGTAGAAGTCGAGCAAGTCGATATTGAAAGAAACAAAGAATGTTTAAGATCATCGGCACAATGATTGCCAACCCGAGTGTAAAAAGTTATGTCCTGTTTAGGAGTAAAAAAATCTAAATAATTAAACAACAGTATTTCAACAACGGTATGCGCGTACCTATACCTATAGGTGACGAAGACAGTATTCGTATACTTTTTTTTTTTTCATAAACATGTGTAAAAAAACTGTCCTATTGTCCGAAGAGAAATGATTATCAAAGTGATTTTTTTTTTCATCTGAGTGACAGAATAAGAAACGGAAAATTAAAATAAAAACATTGCTGAGAAATTCGCGTGTTGACGTTGTAGTTAGAATAATATTCATCGCCATCGTCTCAACCTTAGATTTCGCAGACGGCCGTTCGCGAATAAAATATAAAACAAATAGAATAACAGCACAATAAATTGCTGTTATACCATTGAAACCGTATCTTAATGCTGAGTCCTAACAACAGCAGCAGCAGTAGTATTAGAACAATAATGCATTTTTCTTTTATTCGCTATCCATCTCTGTACAATATTCAAACGCCGACGCGTGCAATTGTGAAGCCTCCGTTGCGGATTTGAAATTCTGAGCCACGCTTTTCAAAAGCTATTGATTTTACAATTTGTTCGTCGTCTTTTCGAGCAGAAATAGCATAGGTAGATATATAACTAGGTTCTGACAAATGTTCGCGATACTCACTCTATATAATATATGAATTTTAAATTCCGCACAATTTTATCATAATAATAATATTATTATACGTTTAAAATTTGTTGGTCGTTAGAAATTGAAAAATCTGCTAAATATTTTCGTCGATCGATATATTATTATGAAAAACATTATTATCATAATCTCTTCCCATTGATACGCGAAATTTATATAATATATATTTTTAAAAAATCGATTATACAGGGGTTTATTTAAAAAAAAAAAAAAAAAAATACAAAAAACCTATTCCTTAGAATGGAAATTATCCTGTTAACCATAAATCATAATAGATACATGTTAGTCAAATTATTGGTAGGTACGTACTTGTGTGATCATTTTTTTCTATTAATTCTTGACAAAGGAGTCTCTCAGAACGAATTCATACGAAACAAATATACAGCATTGTTATTGTACGATAATTTGGATTTTTTTTTTTGTTTACATTTTTCTTTGCATATTTTTGAAAATGTTTCTCGATATCCTGTAATCGGACGGTACAGACGCCTATAATAACACGCCTGCCACGTCTACGCATATTATTTTGTCATAAATATCACATTTGTTTTTTCGCGTATTAGGTACATATATAATTTTGAAGGATGTGTTTATGGTATTATTTATTATATTGTATATCTAAGACGCGTGTCGACGATTTACTACATTCATGAATTTGTAGGATCTGATTTCAATTTTTAATAGTTTTTCACGCCGACGAACGTTTAGACAACTTTAGACTGGACAAATTCATAGATCCGTGTATAAAAAAAAACGCTATTTTTTTCGCTCTCCTATTATAAAATATTTATAGGCGTAGGGATAAAATGCACCGAGAGATTAATGGCGATGAAATATTATGCCGTGGTGCGGGCACAACATATTTTTAATATTGATACTAACTTCTAGTAAAGCAATAATTTATAATGCTTATAATATATATTTCAATCAATCGCGAGTATACATATTATGTACCCCCACACGCTGTTCATTAATATCTTCGATTAAAATTGGTACGGTTTTTTTTCCTCTATAAAACATTGTATCAAATTAATTTGTTCGCTCGTTATATTATAGTTCAATAATATTTTAAAAAAAAAACCGATTGAACAAAAAAAAAAATTTAAAACGATTCGTTAACACGAGTTAAAATGTATGGTTTTTAAACACAACGATACAATGATGTATGATTACAGTAAATCACAATATTATTATCACTACGTTATTGTACAATGTTATTGAATATCATCCTTTTTCGATGTACATTCGTTTGCCTACACACGGCCAGATAATTTTCTTTGATCTGAACTCCGGCATAATGTAACGTCGTTGCGCAAAGAAAAACCGGTCAAGCGCGTGTCTTTTATTGTATATTGTGCCCGTGACAAAATCGATGATCGCAGTGTGTCACGTTTACATTCAGTTCACTCGATTTTCGCCACAGTACGTTCTTTATTCGTGCATTATCCATAAATTCTGCAGTACTTTGAAATTTTAATATTTTAAACTTTTCAACAAAAAATAATATATTTATTTATTCGAATAACACTCGTGGCTTTTGAATCGAGATCTACGGCGTCTATATTATTTTATGCATTAATTTTCTCTTGTCAAAACGTATTGACGTAATAATTTTTTTTTTTTTTTTGTTATTCTTTAAGAGGGCTTCTATCAAAGTTCGGCCCCGGGACCTTTAAATGTCCTAATCCGGACTCGTTTACGATAATATATTGCGAATGGAAAAAATATTTGAGTGGAATGTGCGTGTCAGAAAACTTATCTATACATGAGTAGGTAGTATTATTTAGTGTAGGTTTTTTTATTATATGTGTCGTGAAATATTATAATCTGTACAACAATATTAATGTCGCATAGAAACCTATTTATTGTATTTTCAAAAACCTTTGCAACTATACGCAATTGAACTTTCGAACAAATAGCGCCAAAGTTGCACAGATAACATAATTATCTTGAAGTTTGATAATACGTCGGTCCACTCTATAATATCGAAACTAACAGCACAATGTTGTCCTCGCTAAACGTAAATTTGCTGTGTCGTACGTTTGCAAGACGGAAACGGGTGACACGTACGGACTACCACGATCACTTAAACATTTTCCTATTCTACGAGCACGGAGTCGCATAATATTATTTTATAGTTGTTGTACCACACTATGAGCAAGTTTATTTATTATTTTTTTTTTTTTATAAAACCCGTATTGTCGGAAATAATAAAAATAAACTCTGTAAATATTTTTTTACAACTTACGGGGAAAAAAACTAGACGATTTATTTGTTTAATTTTTTTCATAACATTATTATGTTCACGCAAACGTTATAATATTTAATATTATATATATATTTATTATTTTTTTTTTTTGGTTAACAGCCCAGGGGCTGGTTGGCAGCATTCCTCCAGTCCTCCAGTCCTCGGTCAGTATATATAAATATAAATATTTTTTAATGTTCTACATTATAATCCGATTCCTTTTTTAATGCAAATAAATCGTTTTACCATAATGTTATTGTTATATGATTATATCGTGCTCGACGTAATATAATGAACACTGGGCGCAGTTGACCGTTTATCGTGAAACATAGGCAAAATATTGTTATTATATAACGGAACGTTCGACGAGGCATAATATTTTACGCTATCGGCCCATCGATACATTCTGTATACTGGAAAAATGGTAGATTATTAATTTTCATAATTATTACTATTAATATATTATTTTGTTGTATACGACAGGAATTTCGGACAATTTCGGTATAGAATAAAACTTTTAGAGCAGTAAAATTCGATGCTTTCGAAACTATACCGCAAAAACTTGTTTTTTTTCTTTTTAAATGTTTGAAAAAAAAAATGAAATTTCAATTAGAATTATTGTCCTACTAACTACTGAAAAATAACTGCATTTAAATAATATAATATTGATTTGTTACGGAGATATGAGACTTTTGGACGATCTAGGACAAATGAACGTAGGCACGTGGCCGTTTGGAAGTTGGGACAATTGGACGCAAAAAAAAAAAAAAAATAGAATAATAATAAATAAATAAATACAAATTTTAGTGAAAAAAAAAATGAAATACAATATTAGAAAAGAAAGGTAAGATGGGGACGGATGCAGTCACTGATGTAGGTGGGAAGTTGGAAAGTTAGGATATAGACAGGAATTCAATGTCTCTAAGCAATGATAAACCATTGCTTACGAAAAAACGATTCTGAGCGGAGTTCAGTTGATAGTGAAGCTTTGTCAATAATATATTTGTCATTTCATATTAAAAAAAAAAAAAATGAAATAGGCTTTATATAATTTCTTTAATAAAATTTGTTTAATGTTGTACCGATTTTCCCGGTTTTCCCATGTTTTATTCCGGTTTTTCACATTTGCTAGGAAAACTCTTGGTAAAATCAAAAAATCACTTCTTTAAAGTGCCTCTTTTTTTCTTTCGTTCACAAAAAAAAAAATCGTAATTTATATTTAAAATATAACTCTATAGAAAATTGAAAAATGACCTCCCTAAAACCATAAGCTTCTTCGCTCCACTCAAAATCTAAAATACATAGGTATTAATTGCTGTAGTCATACAAAGGTCAAGTAAAAAAAAATATAATATTAATTTGGGGCCTCAAATTAAATTCTTGCACACAAGCCTTAGAGATCATAATTGCGGCACTGGCTGTTGCTCGAGAAACCGTTCGTCAGATATAAATATGTGATACGTTTTAAATTTCCAGGAAAATAATCTTTACAGAATGGTTTTCTTAAAATTTTCTGAAAATAACAAAATACAAAGTTATTTTTTTAATTTATTTTAGAAAAAAAAAAAAGGAATTAATCAAAATATAAATATTTGTAGTCCTTTGTGAGTATTATGAAAAAAAAACAGAATTTGATTATCTTTATTTTCTCCGGAGATATTCAAGGGGTATATTTTCGTGGGACAGCCTGTATAAAAAAAACTTGGGCCGTAGTAAAATCAATAGAAATAAATAAAATAATCTCAAACATAATTTATTGACCATTGTGCTCATAATTGTCTAGCACTAATAATTATAGCGCCTTGAATATTTACTCACAGAATCTATAAGTGCAATCTATAATTTAAATTTATATATAAATATATACTAATACGCCGGAAATGTTTAAAAAAAAAAAAATTTCAAAAAAAAATTATTAAATAATTAAAATTTCATATATGTACATAATATTAATCAAGTGAAATATGTTGAGCGATTCCACGTAAGAATGTCGTTTTTAGTTGTACTTTCATAATTTTGAAATATTCTTATATTTCGTTCAACCGCGTCAATAAATTTCTTTACTTGAACACAATTCGTAGTTGTACGCAACTGCGATGAAGTATAAACGGTTGTAAAAACTAATAGATACTGCCTATAATACGTAATGTATAAACGATAAGGCACCTACGATAAGATTAGTTAGGTATATTGTGTAGGTACACATCATTGGTTTTATAATTTTTAAATAAACTAAAATTAAATTTTTACACGGGACTTGATATTAGGTACATTTTTATTTTTCACTCAAAATATTTCACTTAGTTAATATTATGTACACAACTTTTTAACTATAATCTTTTTAAAATTTCTTTTTTAACCTTTTTTTTTTTTGACGTCCAATTATTCCAACGTCCAAACGACCACGTCCCCGAGAATAGTCACGTTCATTTATTCGTAGTCTATTTTTAGACTTTTTTCCGAACTTTGTTCAGAATCGTTTTTTGATTATCATCACTTTCGGTAGGTTGCCTTACTACTTACAACGGTGACCTACCCACGGTCCGAAATTTGTCCGCGATTTTCGTTTTTTTTTTTTTTTTTATCAACAATACTGCTGACCGTTTACATATTATAATTATATTATAGGCAAGAGAGACGTGTCTCGGATTTTATGAAGCCTTTTTTTTTTACATTCGGTCGACAGCGCACGGGTTTTTTTTTTTTTTTCTTGCATATTATTATGTTAAAGTTGAATTGTCCTTCCTTCTCCGGTTTTTCTGTTATTTATTTTTTTTTTTATTTATTCATTCGATTCAACGAATACACGCAAAACGTATACTTGTTTATATAGTATGTATACAATTCGATTGGATTTTTTTCGAGTACATATTATTCAACTCGATACTATATTAGATTATAACCCAAGGGACGACGCATTGGTTGTACAGTATGATTTGTTTTTATATTATTTTCAAAATACTACGCTTGTATAATGTAGGAGTGCATTAATACAGGGGCGGATTGGCCTACAGGGAAATTTCCTGATGGGCTGGTCATCGTGAGGACAGCTATGTTGATATTATGTTATTCGTAAAATAATATATGAATATGTGATGTATTGTATTATTTTTTTTTTTTTTTAGATATTTTGTTAATTATTACGGTTTTATAGGGTTTCAAGATAGTTGTGTGCATTACACAGTCGAGCAATTGAAAAATAAAACTAAGCTTTACATAGAGAACTTTGTGTCATCAACTATAGGTTCAAGTAATTAATATTTTAATGATTGACTGGTTCATTTAATAATACACCGGTTGTTTTATGATATATTTATATTAATTCCGTAAGTATATTAAACACACAAATTAGTATTCACCTAGTTTAGAATCGTCTACTATGGAGTGTATTTGTTTTTCCGGGAAAATCGTCTAGAAGTGGATTATTGAGAGGTTTTGTCTATATTAAATGTAGCTATGCCTTTTTTGTTGTATTCAAAATAATGTTTAACAGATGTGAAAGGGAGTACTTAAAACTCCCCTTTTTAAAAATTGGTAATAACAGAATTTTCATAATATCAAAATGTTTAAACTTTGCAGTATCTTTTGATAACTATACAAAATATTCAACAATTTGAACGTGTACTCAAGAATTTAGTTAATAATTTGGTTGATAATTGGGAGGGGGGCGTGAAAGCCCCTTTCGTTTTACTGTATTATATTATAGATTTTTAGCAACCCTCGACATTTTATTCCGTTCACGCAATCATGCATTGGATTTGTGTAGGTTTGTAGTTTAATTCATATTTTCAAGACAAAAAAAAAAATCGTTTAAAATGAACGAATAAATTTGTTTAATACATTCGTATAACGATTGAACACGTATTCAAATGTCATTCACTCGATTGCGTACACTGTTCATTCAGGAAAAATTGATCACGTTCGTTCCAAACACTGATTTTAAATTATAAATATAACAACGCATTTATTTACATCCCTCCTAACTATGCATATTCTTTTTTTTTGTGAAATGTCAGTCTTGGTATGTATTCTTTAGGAAATCTAAATACCGGGAAAATCTTAAACAATCATTTGTTTCCTCTAACTTTTGTAACATAACAGGATTTATTAATTTTTACTTCGTGGTAGTTATTATACTTATGGATTTGCTTTGATAAAGTTTGAACTTTTTGGGAATAATGGTCGAAAGTTTGGCCGTTAAATGTTTTATCGGCGATTATACTTAAAATAATATTAAAATAGGTAGACGCTATTGTTAATATTTAGTTTAGTAAATCGTTTTTCGAATTATGATTTATCGTCATTTGTGTATAATAATATTATATACTGTAGGTCTGTGGAAGTTATAATATAATCATGAAAATGCTACAAAATAAAAACGGTTTAAATATTTAAAAATGTATTTAATAGTTTAAGGGTATGTAGACATTGGAATATTAATCGTATTTTTTCAAAGTCCAATATAATAAATTATAATTAAAAATTGAATTGCTTACAGACATTAATAATCATATATTTGATTATAATAAGATTTGGGGGTGTTCACGAAAAATAAACTATTTTTAAAGTGATCGGAGCAATATTTAAATACAACGGGTCACAAAAATAGTCATTCTTCGTGATTCCGTAAACGTAAATAGTACTATCAGATATAGGTATACTACATGTGCACAATTGAATACTACAATAGTGTTTTTGTTTTGTAGTTGGAATCGTCCAATCGATTGTTTCTTTATCAAAGGTTACTGGTATCGTCCGCCCAAAATCTGTCGCTGGCTTTTGACATGAACTACGAAGACCTGCTGCCCTTTGTTTACTTTTTACGCGACCACGGCGTATGTCAGATGAGCTTGAGCAGTTTTAATACCGTACGTGTCCCAATTATAGCATATTTATATATATATATATATATATATACACATATTGTATAGTATACACTTTATAAAGTGATTTTTTTTTTTATCACAGTCCAGCGATTACGATTTTGAGTAAAAATGATTTTGGTTTCTATTTCACACGTTTTATTTGACCGTGTTTAATGACGTTATTTATATTATTTTCAAAATGTTACCCTTATTCCGTACACCATACATGCATATTTACTTTTTGATTTTCAAATAGCCCATTCCTCCTCGATTATCAACACAGAAACCAACCAAAATCGATGTATCGTATAGTAAAAAAAATCACCTTGTATATTATATTTAGCGTGACCAGAAGTCCCGCATTAGGAGGGATTTCCGTTCCGATCTTTAGATCTGCGTCCCTCTTTTTAAGTTCTCCCGTAATAAAATGATGGCCACATTAGTTAAATTGTATTCGTAGGAAATGTTTCGGAAACATCTACTACGGCATTTCAATAATATATTGAAAATCAATAATTCATTGATATTGTCGCGGGACATTTCGAAGGTAGGTTAGTATTTACGTAGTCATCTTTCGTGTCCTATATTATATCAGCGTTTCTCAACCTTTGGTTAGCGAATAATTTTGATCGGCTTACCTAACATTTTAAAATGAAAATAAAGGCCGTTTTAAACACGTTTAAAACATATAAAGTATATAACATTAAAATAAATAAAAGCTTATTTAAATTCCGTTGAATTTTCGGGGGTGATATACGCCGTTGAATTTTAATTTCAAAAAAGAAGAAATAAGGAAAAAAAAAGATCGCATGAAAAATTGCGTAAATCCTTTTACGGACGTTAAGTTAGCATTACGTGTATAGCAGAACTTCTCGTAACATATACGCCGATGTTTAAATAAACTTGTTGAAACGTGTTGGGGACCCTCAATTTGTTTATTTTTAAAATTTGTACCGCTAATAAACCATCTAGTATTATATTTTTATTAAAGCGTTTTAATCGAATTTTAATGCTATAGATGTGAAGTCGGTAGTAAGAAATATAACGTGGAGTAGTTAAAAAATGGACCTCCAACAATTTCCAAGTCTATTTAAATTATTATGTTGGATATGTTTTTGAAATGTTCTACTAAAATTTTCTCGCCAATTTCCCTTCACTTAAATATCTCGGTTCACGCGTATAATTTATAGGCAAAGGTTGAGAACCGCTGTCCTATACGACGGTATAGCGTTGATACTTCACAATTCATAGTACAGAGTGTCCCACGAAGATATACACGTTGTAATATCTCTGGAGATGATAAAGAAAATCAAATTCTGGTGTTTTTTATATTACTCACTGAGAGAACTACAAATATTTATGTTGCAAATGATTTTTTATGCTTTGAAAAAAAATTTAAAAAAAAACTCTATTTTATTATTTTTCAAAAATTTAAAGATCGTTATTTTATAGAGTTTAATTTTTCTTTACACTTTGATGTATCAATTTTTTATTTCCATTTAATTCGGGATTTTAAATCATTTTTAAAATTTAGAGAAACATACACATAATTATGAAGCAGGCTGTAATCGCATTACCTAATTGATTATTATTATTACGATTAATTGATTGCACACTTCTTTTCTCTGGTATATATAAAATATTGTATATTGTTTTGTGTGCGACGCTCTGTATTTATATATATATATACTATATCACGCGTGTACGGACAATAATCGCGCAACGATACGTGCGCACACCGTATACTTTATTTCCGGTCCGATTTTTATATTGCAGATCATAACGCTGAAGAGTAAACTGAAGACGGCCATCGGAGGGCTGACGTTTTGCGAATACCGGAAGACGACCGGTCGGCCGTGCGACATGTCCGCAGACGGTAAATAACGCGACAACCGCGGTGGATAGGTTAGGTCTGGTCTTATTAACATTTCAAATAAGTACAGTATAATCGCCTCCCACCGCGCGCCCTTCGCTCATTGCTCGTGGCACGTGCTAATAGTAGTCGGCCGCCGCGTGGTTACGAATCATCATAATATTACTTGTATATTATCATGTCCGTCCGTCCGGTGGTCGTAAAATTACCGCCACCCGACCAGCAGACGATCTCCAATAATAATATAATAACAATTAACCTAATAACAGTGTTGCCAAGTGTACGGTAACTGATGGACGCTTACGGTAAATTATCCACTAGCCCATAGCCCACTGAATTATACGATAATTACAATTTTTTCCAAACATTTTTTTTTTTTCAAATTAAAACCTAAAGCGAAACCACGGCTTAATTCTTGTATGTAAGTATTAATAAAATTATAAACCGCGGTTTAGATAATGATAAATGGGATGATTTGTTGTTTGGATTAATCACCCAAATTCCATTAAAACGTTCCAGATAATCTAAAAATAGTAAAAATCGGCACAACATTGAACAAATTTTATTTAAGAAAATATATAAAGCTTATTTAATTATTTTACTATAAAATTACATATTAACTGTTGATAAAGTATCAATATTAATTGAAATTCGCTCAGAAACGTTTTTTCGTTAGCAATGGGGTTTATCGTTGCTTATAGGTATATATTAAATTATCTATAACAGTGGCTGCACCCGTCCTCATTATCCTAGGACGTCTCTTTAGATGATGTGTGTTATCCAACTAATTTATTTACAACTATGTACAACAATGAATCCAAGTTATTTTTATAATATAATGTACCTATTTAATAACTTAATATATTACCTTAAAATATTAAGTTATTAAGTAGTTATTAATTATAATTTATGATTAATATATTATGATTTAAACCGTGATTTCAGAAACAAAGTTAAGTGTTTATTGATAAAATTAAATGATAACAACTATGGGCCAATCAATTACAGATTACAGCCATAGACGTATTTAAACATTGTTTATAATATGTATCTATGGCAGCAGCAGTTGCTACACCAATCGTGTACGATTTTTTTGATGATACGATAATTTAATGGGAAATACGATAATTTTTGAAGACCCATGCCATAATCATAGATAGAGAGTTAGGTTAGGTTAGTTATAGCAATACTGCCTAATCAGCCCACGCTAATCAGCGTGGATAGTCGCCGTTTATGATGTATATTCCTATGATATCCACCGTCGCCACGTCGCCGCGTATCATAGACGCCAGTAAAATTATATTAATCAATTAACCGTTAATATTAAAATTATAACCAAGCGCGTAGGTCAATAAATATTATTATTCGTAAAATATAGGTATAAAATAGCGAAAACCCGTGCGTAGTGGCGTCATTTCGATGTAACGCATATTATCTGTGACGTTGTAATATTATAATACGTATATTACATTTTGGAATTTCGGAATCGTATAGGGAAATGGCATTATATAGCAACTTTCACATGTGTTACATGACCAATCAGGAGGATACATACACTAAATTACGTCTTAATAAATTACTTAATAAATTGTCTACTGAAACTGCGTCAATTTAATGTATTGAAATCACATCTTCAATGATAACGGCGATGCACCACTATTTTTTTTTTTTTATTAAATAGCTGAGTATTTAACAAATATATGTAATTTAAGCAAAATATGTAACATCAACCGAAGCTTAAACCAATCTGATTGTCCTACAACATATTTCTTTAACAGAATCATTCGATTGTTATCATTCATGGCAAATATGTACATTAAACATTGAACTCTATTTGAATATGTGATTGAAAGAGGGGGGGGGATTTGCTATTTCAAATTCAAATTGGATATTCATTTTAGGTAAAAAAAAGGTATAAAAGGTATAATATTTTACGAATAAAAGAACATAGAAGTTTAATTATTTTACCGTTCGTCGATAATCGTTGGTCCGTGGACGATAGAAAGAATGCATTTTGTATATACATACATACGACATATCTAACCTATGATATTGTGTATTATCAATTATTATGATCGATTTTTCTATATAGAAATGCATTTTATTATGGCGGATTCTTTGGACGCGGCGGAGTTAAAATACTATTGGAAAGCTTGGCACAATCATACCAGTTACGAAGTGAAAAATATCTATCTTAAATACATCGGACTGTTGAATCACAAGGCCAAGCATCTGAATAGTAATTATAATATTGACAAAAACAAAAAAAGCCAAATATGTTATAGTTTTAATATTTAACGATGTCACTATATGCTGTGTTGTACGCGTCACGACGATGATTTCGTGAAGATGTCTCGAACGCAATAGAGTACTATATGAAACCGTATTTGAACGAAAACTGTAATTTGAACGTCAACCGGATATACGAGTCCGTTAGGCCTCTATACTTGCAACTGTACACGCACATCCGCAAAGTCCTCAGAGACAAATTCGGAACGACCGTTGTTTCGTTCAAAGGCCCCGTACCGGTGCATTTATTAGGTAAGTTTCCGAACGGTCCGTTATTTGGTATTATAATATCGATCGAGTATACCGATCTGTACTGCCGATTTCGAGTACCAGCTGGGGTAAATTCCACAGAACTTTTTTTTTAGTTGGATGGATTGGCGAGTGCAGGTAATTACAGTGGTCGGTCGGCTGTTAAAATTAAGTCATAGTTTAAGCAACTTTTTTGGCAATCGATTGAAATTAATCTAGATGTTCCAAAGTTATAATGGAAACACGTTCTTTTATTAAATAAATCCATATGTATCGTGAAACAATTGTTCGTAGTTTATAAAAATCATTAATACAAATAAAAATAAAGTTTATGGAAAAATTGATGAATTGATTACTAATGATTTTTAAAGTATATAAGATCATTTAAATTTTTTTTAATACCACTACATAAAATCAAAATCGATTCACCAATTTGCTTAAAAAAAAAATTTATTTTAATGATTTTCGTAAATTTCAATAAGTTAGAAACAACAAACAACGTTTCATCATAAGTAAATATTAGTAACACCAACATTTTGTTTCCAAATATATTTATAAAACTGCCATCTTGGTTCTCGTAAACATTTTTTTTTTATTTTTAGTTAAAAAAAGATAAAAATATAAAAATATTGAACGGAACAAAAGTTTGTGCATTTGTTGAATCTTCGTGGGACTCCCTGTATACAGATGAATATATTTCAAAAAGATACACCCTACTTTTCGTAATATTCTGTCACACGCACACGTTTCAGTTTTTTTTTTTTAATTGGACAAAAGATTCGTGGCATTCAAAAAAATATAATGATAATATTCAACAATACTATCGCCCACTCGAATGGAAGATCTTTCGTTTTCTCTCGAAATTATACTTCGTATATGTTATATATAATGATATTTTTCTAAACTTACACCCCACACCACTTAGTCGTTTATTAGTTCACATAAAATGAAAATAAATATTGTTTAATCTTGTTGAAAAATGAATGGAATTGTTCAAACGGAACGGGAAAATCGATTTTTCTATATTTGATTACACAAAAAACACGCGTTTCTACTGTTGTAGTCAGTATAGTTTTTATTAAAACAAAATAAAAAACATATATAGTTAAATCCTTTTTTAAACTTTATTTTATATACAGTATTCTAATGGGAAAAGTATAAAAGAGCTGGTGGTGGGAACGGGTGTGTCACTGTTGTAGGTGAGAAGTTGGGAAGGTAGGATACATAAAGTTAATTAATATATGTATAATATATATAAGCAACGATAAACCATTGCTAATGAAGAACGGTTAAACGTGTATTGATGGCCGTAAAATTTACAATTTCGTCAAAATTTGATTTTAACTCTTAAAAAAAAAAAAACAAATCATGTATTAGCGAACTGCGCTTAGAATTATCATTCGTCAATAAATGGTTCATCGTTGCCTACAGATGAAATAACTTTATGTATCCTACCTTCACAACTTCTCACCTACAATAGTGGCCTATCACATCCTCAGTATCAGCTCTTTTGTTTTTTTTACCTTTTTAATTATCTTGTCTATTTCGTCTATTTTACAGACTCTCTCATTTATATACTCGTATACACACAACATAATACAGTCAATTACGACGCGTTAATGTCTTGTACGGTTAGTTTTAAGACCTAGATACTGAATATTTTAGTCGGTTTTTTTTTTAACACGTACAATTTTTTATAATATATTCATTGTACGAGTGATAATAAAATATAATTAGAAGCAAATTCATATTGTTATAATGTAAATACGAGTAAATTAGTTTTTTACGAGCTTAAAATATCTAAACGCGAAATGAAAGTTTTATTTTCTGGCTCAATTTTATAAAATTCTATGGCCGATCCCGAATAGTAGCAATTAAAGCGAGAAGAAAAAGAAGACTTTTATTTACAATCTGTAATTTGAATATAATAAGCAAATGATGCGATAAGAAAAAGGCTCGGAAATGGCGAACGCCCATTGGCCTTATAGTAGTCATTTATATATGACATACCTATATTGATATAAAATCAATGCGGTATTCTAAAGAAAAACTGGTTTAATGATTATTGTATAACTTCTATAAGCAAAATATAGTTTTAAGTTGATCATTATGGAGCGGTTTAAAAGGGGTCGCTGTAAATTGCGTACCATTTTTAATTTTTTATGTAAATTGCGGCCTGGGTACATTTTGTACATACGTAAATTGCGGCCTGAGTATATTTAAAACATAGTATCCGAATTTCATAGCACATTTAAATTACTTAATGTAGAGAAGTCCACTACATTTGTTTCTTACTAACAATAACTTTTCATTTTTGTTTGTTTTAAATTCCTTGTTGTCAAGAATATTGTGTAATTTCAAAAAAGTGTCTAGTGATTTTGGTAGTATAGAATCTCGAACATTGTGTAAATTTCGTTTAGTAAACTTTACATCTTGAGTAGTTCGACGTCAGCATTTTATAATTCAGAATGAATAATTTTAGATGGCCTGGTAAACATATCGTCAACGGCTTTTCATTTTAAATTGTTGTTAAGTTTCTGTCGATTTATTATTTGTTCCAAAATATTTTAAAACTACTGTGATCTTTAAAACTATCTATACACACATTATTATTATTAAATTTCAAAAATCACTTACACGTTTTAACTGTGCAGCACCAACGTTGAATATCATTTTGCAGCAATTTGTGAAAAATAAATTTGAAACCATCGACTACTTTCAACATTATATTCCTTTCGCTTTTCATAACGTTCATTTTTATTAAATTGAAAAAAAAAATATAAACTGTAGAGAAACGTAAAACCTTGTGCGATTAGACTTTTACGATTCGATCAAATGCACACTGGTTGCCAGTGATATTATATTAGTAAACATATTATTATCTACATATATTAATATTATCAATCAAAGATTAATAATTATCTTTAAATTGTACAGCCGGCCGGGAAAAACTCGGAATGCATTTTACGTACATTTCAAATATATCCGGGACGCAATTTATGTATGTATTAAAAGTACGTGAGCCGTAATTTACAGAGTATATGATTATGACCTATTTTTGAAGGACGCAATTTACCGACTCCGGTTTAAAAGATACAATAACGTTAAACTCGCATTGTTTTTGTTACGCACAAATTGATACGAGTCCAATGGCGTGACCAATGGGGTAGACTCCAGGTACGGAGTCCACCCACCCTCTTGGCCCGTATAAATATATATATATAATTTTTTTTAAATGTCGATTTTGAAACTTTTGTTTATCATTTATAAATTATAATTTTTAAGTTTAAAACTTATATTATAGAAATACATACTCAGAAAACAAATAAAATAGATTAGCTCTCCTCATTATACACAGATATACCGATCTCATATATTAATGAAGTTGTAGATGACTTGGCATTGGAGAAGGGTTATTAGATTTTTCTCTGTGAATACTGAATATATTATGTGTATAATTTTAAGTACCAAATGTAAAATTCTAAAAAATTTCCTTTTAAATTCTAAATGGAGAGAAGAAGATTATGGTTTTACAAAAGTATTTATTTTTTTTTTTTTATCTTTTTTACCGGAAATCTTTCTCCGATTTTTAAGTGTAGCAACTTTTCTGAAAGTAAATCGGATTGAGGAGGTTCCTCGAAGGAGTTTTTTTAATGAATTTTCGATTTTATCAGAAGTTTTTTTATCAAATGTAAAAACCGAAAAAAAAAACGGAGGAAAATCGTTACTTACATTAATTTCCCCTCTACTATCTTCCCAACTTCTCATCTACAACAGTGGCTGCACCCACGTGCGAAGTATGTCCGTCTTTTTTCCATTCAAAGATTTTTGATTTGTAAAATGTTGTATTTAGTATACTATTTTATACTTGGATCATTAACTCGTCTCTTTCATTGGGTTTCGTTTGTTTTAGTGTTTCAGTATGGCATATTATGAACATTTCATTAATCATTGGGATTGAATCGACAATCTATTTTTGGTTTTCAATGGTAACTTATATTAACGATTCTGTAAATTGACGGAGTATTAGTTTAAATATATATTATAGTGTTCACATTTTATACTTCCATCCATAGACGAGATATTCTACTTTTAAGTTTGGGTAGGGAGAGAGAATAGCAAAACACTATTTAAATTAGTGCTGGACAATTAATCCGAATCAATCCAAAATTCGGAAACCTTTTCATTATTGATTCCATTATTGTGGTTTTAATACACGGATTACGGATCAAATCCGTATCCGTAAAATATATTTTTCAATCCGAAATCCAAGTGAGTCAAACTTGTGTTCAGCACTAATTCAAATGCTACGTACTATGCTGCACAGATTTCACATAAATAATTCATCACTTCCCTATTAAAATTTAAAATTGGAATATCTCGTCAACGGGTTGACATCACAAATGTTAACATTAAAATGTGTTTAAACTAATATTCCATCTATTTATGGAATATAATATAAGTTGTTATTTGAGAATCAAAAGTAGGTTCGTTCCAAAATATAAGGATGACCAAAAATAATTTTAACATTTTAGAGTTACTTGTTTGTTTCTTAAATTTTCAAAAAAAAAAAATACATAATATAGCAAAACCAGTAGGCTTTCCTCGCTATACGCTCAGAATCAATAAAAGAGTTTTTCAATATTTTATTTAACTATTTTTTTTTTTTTTTCGAAATCCAAGCATGTATCTGTCCTGAATTTGTTAAAATATTTTAAGTATTTTTGAAAAAAAAAAATGATTATAATTTTATATTTAATAATAAAATAATATTGTGTAATATATACCTACGTAAATTATGAATTGTAACGCGATTTGGTTAACCACGGCTATACCAATTATTGTTATTATTACTATTATTATTACTTCCTATAAAGTATTTTATTAAATGTTCAATGCGAAATTAATTGTTTAAAACGAAACAATATCGAGTTTCGTTTAAACTCTATAGTTTTTATAATTAATTTTGTTGTTCGAGACACATATTAAATATAATTTATAAAATAATGAAATTATATTTCGGTTTTTCGCTTGTTATAATAAACTTTCAGGTTCGATATTGGGTCAGCCATGGACAAATTTACTACCACACTTAGTTCACGGACGTTTTAACACGGACGCACCATATCGAAAATCAACCGCTAAAGTAGTTATATAAAATAGACTATCGTGTATAATTATCAGAGTGCGGATTATAATGCAAAACGAATTTTTTTCTGCACGTCCTAGAGCAATGCTATCCAAAACACAAAATTCGTTTCATATATTATGGTATATCAAAGAATTAAAATATGAAACTTTTATTTTGCATTTTTAAAACATTTTGTATTTTTAGAGCATTTTTTGACATATTAAGTGCATTTTTAGATTTGTGAGGCATTTTTTTTTTTTATTTTTACCAACTTCATAGTACTATCAGAAAATTTGATTATATTTTTTTTGCTTTCCCCTTAAAAGAAAAAAATATCATGTTTTTATTTTTAATATGTATTTGGATTTATCGATTGTACCAGATAAATACGATGCATCGAGAAAGCATCTCTTGCATCAGCAAGAAAACAATAAGCTGTTTACGCAATGTAGTCGTATTGCACTATTTGCACTGTCATATTTGGTAAATTTATATACCCACCTCATAAAATAAGTTTTTTTTCCAACGTTTAAAATAATTTTTAGGGCGTTTTTTAAGGCAATTTTAACTTTTTATAAATGTATATTAGTGCATTAAATTGTATTTGTTGAGAGGTTTTTCTTGTTTTTTTAAGGCATTTAAATCCCACCCTAATAATTGTAATATATTTAATATTTATTAGATAAAATAAAATATACAACACAACCGTAAGGTATACGCGGTCGAAGATAAAATAAATTTAAATCCTTTTTATTTTTTCGAAGACTTCGAAGTTATTGTTTGATCGAGCTAATGGATTCTTTTCTTCGATCGGTATGGATTGTGTACCGAAAAGCGTTTGGTCCCAATCGATGTTGTTCAACGAAAATGACCGTTTTGCCGATTGTGCGCCTTCCTCGTGGGACATGTACAAAAATAACGATTTCAGGTCATTATTGTTATTAAAAAAAATATTGTCAATAGATTTTATTTAAACGCGGATTCAAAAGTCATTTTTTGTCGATTATTCTCCGAAAATAGAAACTTTTGCACAATACCTATTATATTATCTATGTTTTTTTTTTATCTTATATTATATTTATCGTTTTACCCCGACATTTGAACACTTGTAGCCGCTCCCTCTGGATTGAATGTGCCTAAACTCGAGAATCAGAATTTTTTTTTGTAGGCGGATCTAAGTGATAAAAGTCTGGTTGAATTTCAATATGAACTTCACCGTGTTGGTGCTGGAATAGAGTGTTTTTTTTAAACTTTGAACACTCCTACAGAGTACAGACCCTCCAAATGAAGCCAAGGAGGTGCATGCCGTTAGTAATAAATTATTACTAATAACTATCTACGATATACATTTCAGGGGTTTAAATTTTCAACCCCCGACTCTTATCATTTGTGTGTTCAAAATTCACTAAGGATTAAATCCTTGTTTTGACAGATGAGAGTCTTTATAAACAAAACCAAATTTCCTTTTAGAAAAGTGCTATTATTGTAAATCAGAGCAAAATTGCCGGTAGAAAATTTGTTCACAGGAAAAAAATAAATAAACATCATTGTACAATTATAAACTTCTTCGCTCCACTCAGAATCTAAATTAAAGCTAATGTGTATAGTAACGACAGTAATGATTTCACAAAATTAGTTTATTGATCAATAATCATCTCTTCACAAGCAATTTGTAGTTAATAAATGTTTTACAATTTTTTATGTAAGTTAGAAGTTTTTCATGAATTCTTAAATCCGCTATCACAACGCTATCATAATATTTTTCGGAGTTAATTTTAGGAAATATTTAATTTTCAGTTCCCATTTCATATTTAAGGATGACCGGTAGTATTTAGTATTTTTGGTATAATAGTTTAACTTAATTAGGATCAAATATGAAATAAATTACATACCTATATCGTACAAAATTGTTTCGGTTTAAAGAATTCTCTAAATCATTATTTTTTTTCTTTTTCGTATTTTCTTTATAGTTTTGTTAAAAACGAATGAGAAAAGCCCTTTTGATTGTTATACTATGCATATACATATTTTTTTTTTATTTTATATTAATATATAGCACACGCCGTACACAGTATATAGAATATACATTATACAGCATATACCCGTATAGTCACGTCCATAATAACATATTAAAATGTTTTGTATATATTTTTTTCCAGAATAAAAATGTGTTTCCAGGACACCGTCGAAGACGTATACACAATGCACAAGCAATTAGGGCTGGTGCACTACTTCTCGGCGTATAAAAAACAACCCATCGCGTTTCAGCACATACCCGACGCAGGTGACGTAATAAATAAATAACACAATATTTTTCATGCATACACGTGGTGTACAAACACATGCACACACACACACACACACACGTACAAATATTAAAATATAAAAGTATGCATTATACAAAGGTGTATTATTTTGTCGTTATCGCAGTGTTTTATTTAACCGTTTTGATACGCCACAGGGTCTAATAAAATCGAACACGTGAATTTCAATAAAACTCGACTTAAAGTGTCGGACAGGTATTTTCTTTCCGGATGTACAATTTTTTTTTTTTTTTGGATTTGTATAGCACTTGAATCCGCCGCTTCACTCGTGCGTATCGATTTTTGTTTTCAAACATAATATACCTATGCGACTTATGAGAACGCTACTATATTTAAAAGTTTAAAACTGCCGCTTTACACAAATTTTAAATTTATATATATATATTTTTTTTATCTTAAATAGGTCATACTTGAGAAGAAAACCTGGTAAATATATATATATATTGATTTTATTGAAGTTCACAATTTTTCGTTCCCTTTAAATACCGCAACACCGCATACAACTAAACATAAGTATCTTTGGTCCCAGGGAAGAAGGGATTAAGTTTATTTTATATAGTATTCAATAGAAATAGTTAAAATTTTGAAAATTTCCCAATGGCTTAATTAATAAATAAGCTAAATTTATTGTCTTAAATCATATAATTATGTGACATGCCTTTTAAGCCAAACAAAACACATCATAACGATGGTTTTAGTTTAAAAATGTAAGTAGGTACATTTTTTGACGAAAATAAGTCAATTGTATAATTGTATAAGACTATAGGACAGTATAGGGTTAATTGTATGTTTGCCAATAATATGTAGTAAGTGATATGGTATATACTTAAGCCAATAGATAGCGTAGAATTTTGGGTTAAGTACTATAAATAAAATAAAATGTGAATGAATCTGCTCTCCCGTATAATCATTATTTTGTACATACAACATTTTTGAATTAAGCCATCGATAATGTCATTTTAGTAATAGTGTTTTAGTAATATCGTAGTGTTACACGTATCGAGTCAAAAAGAAAAAAGGAAAATAATTATATTAGACAAAATTGACTTAACCCTTTTTTCTAGAACCAAATATTATATTAGTATTTTATACTGGAAATACACCGTGTGCTTTTACAAAATAATATAATAATATACAGTTAGGTACGTTTATATGTATATGATGGTAGTTACGTCAAAAACTGTTTGAAATTGAAACCGAAAATATTATTCTTGTCATGTGAACACTTCAAAACGAATTAAATAGGTACCTACATCAAACCGTTTTCAAAATGAAACACTCGCGCTATTTACCGCGATATAGTTTAAAACGGTTTAGCAAAAGAACATAGATACCTCTAACATTTAAACGCATTTTACAAAACCTTATCATTCATCGATTTATATGCTGTTTTGGATTGTGCAATTGTACGTTGCTTGGCCAAAAATTATTATTACGCGTTATCAGTACGTTTATATGATGGCATTAAAAACGGTTTGAAATGAAACCGTTTTAATAAATTTTAAAACGGTTTAGCATAATATCTATTATAACTATTTACATGTCCGTAATATTTAACAATTTAAATTTAATTGTTTTCTACATGACTTGAATTTTTATTCAATAGATATAATAATATTTATATCTATTGCTTATTTTTCTTTATTACGAAATCGCGACTATAACGACGCATAATGCCGTAAACCCGTAATAATATTAATATCGATCTGCTAAATCCACGAATAATAATTGCAAAATGACCGATTAGTGGTGTAATTTAATTTATTGTAATAATGTAGGCATATGTAGGCTATATTTTTTAACATTCGTCTATCTCCGCGATATTTTCTTCCGGGTTTGGTAAGTGTAGAAGGTTTAGATAAATAAAAGAATCGTACAAATTTGAGCGATCAGAATTTGACCTACTCACTATATATATATATATATATATTATGACTCAGGTTCGGAACTTAAAACACTCAAAATCGACAAAAAAACGCTTAAAAAATATATTAGTATAATTAAAAAAAAAAAAAAGAAAAAAGAAAAAAACAGTCATTGCTTGCCAACGGCATTGGCCCAAGGTTCGGTGCAAATATTCAAATAAAACCCGTATTGTACAGTCACGTATCAACATATTGTTGTTATTATTATAACCATTGGTTTCTTTACTGTGGCGGCACACAGTGTTTGTCGAGGGCTTGCTGAACGCGCTGACGTTATCGGTGAGGTACCGGGAATTTATCAGCCGGCACAACGACAGCGTGACCAGTCGGCACGCGTACCTATTGCAGATGGCCCTAGAAAAGGTGGCTGTTTTGCCGTACGCGTACGCCGCGGACGCCTGGCACTCGGAAGTTTTCAAAGGGAACTTCGCGCCAAAACGCATGAACGACCATTGGTGGAGCAAGAGGTAAAACAGTAAAACTCACACACAGTATGCGCATTATAAACTATAGGATACAGGGTTATTTTATAGAGTTTTCCATTTGACGGCCATTTAACGTGCACTATATAATGCGTTCATAATAATTAAAATACTATATAGCAATATAGTATTTTAATTACTGTGCACGTATCTAAAATTAAACGGACCGTAACGTTTGTTTCAATCCGGATCAATCCAAATTTGGGGCTCAGCACTAGATGAGAGTAGTAGAGTATAATTTGGGCAACGGTACGACGCGTGGTGAGTTGCAATGCACCACTACTCAGTATTCTCCTCCAATCCAAACTTAAAAGCGGAATATCTTGTCAACGGCTTGACAGAAAACAAAAATGTCAACACTAAAATTTATTTTAACTAATACTCTATCTATTTATGGACTTTTAAATTCAGGTTGCCGTTCAAAAATCAAAAGTAGGTAATGGTTTTATATCCAAAAATAACGGTGAACAAAATAACATAAATATAAAATTGTAGAGTTGCTTATTTATTGAACGTTCTAGAAAACAAATTCTGAAAAACGTTAAAATTTTCCGAGATAACGAGTGTACCCACTTAAATGGATCACCTGGTATATATTATTGTATAGTATACATCGTGTATTTGATGTTCCTTAGAAAATCCATGATTTTAAATATATTTTCATTTATTACTTCCGGAAAATGATCATGTCCGTGTTAATTTGCAGGCTTAAGTACGAGGGCGTTGTGTCGCCGATATCCAAGCTCAAGGACAAACTCATCAACAACAATTATAGACCATTTGACCCGAGTGCGTCATACAACACGCTGACCGAATTACCAGCCATCAGGTGTATAATATAATATCATAACTCAGTTAAAAAATCAATGCATCTACTAATTTTGAAGTACCTTGCTGTGCATTTCTGGGAATATATCGCTATGAAATAGTGGACCTGAATTTATACTCGAAGTTATTATAAATATTAACAATTTTAAAAGGATTTTGTACTTCTTTTAAATGCCTTTCGTCTATTAATGTGGGTTGTAGCCTTGTAGGTTATACATTCCACTGCTGCTCAGTAATATGATAAATAAATCGAATTTTTAATACTTATAGTTAATAGCGAATAACGTTGCAGCTATAGCGATATTAAATTCTGACGTACGAGTCTAATACATAATACGGTAAATCAAATTCTTACAGGTAATATATTTACCTATACAAATTTTAGTTGAATTTCTTTGTACTTATTTGTAAACTTACAAAACAATAAACGAAACATTATGCTATTTTTTTAGAATTTCAATGGGCTGATTTATTAATAGATTTCTTAATTTTGTTTTAAAATCTACTGACTGTTTTTTTTTTAAACAGATTAGGCACGGTCACTTTTAAAGACGATTATGACGTTTTAGTTAAATAAACGGTGGGCAATTAGACATACTTCCTTATAGTATTAATAAGTTCGTTGACAAATTGTCCAGGCTATTTAGAAAGTAGATTTTTAGATTTAAAACTCGACATTCCCAAAATAAATACGAATATAATGCGGTCTTCAAAACTGAAAGTTGAAAATTGATTTCCTAAGTAACCTTTGAGTTCGTCAACAAATTCGTGCATCGGATATTAGGAAGTGTTTTCTAATTTATAATCACCGCTAATTGATCTACAACGTATGAAAAATATATGTTTTTCAACTTTCTTAATATTTAGATTAAAGTTAGGTTAGGACTTAGGAAGTTGGTCAACTTTCCATCAGTGCAGTGTTACTTAGTGATATCAAAAAGCGTTAAAAATAAAATGTATATTATTAATTATTAACATGCATCTTTTTTTTTTATTTTTAATTCTGAAAATAGATTATTTTTGGTACCAATCGTAGAGTTTCAAATATTTAGAGCATTGTGTATGATTTGCGACGAGTACGACCGAAAAAATTCAAAGAACAGACATCTATACGAATGCAATTTACGCGGCTACAGACAAATCGGGAAAGTTATTAAGCAAGTGTCTTACAGTCATATTAAATTAAAGTTAAATTATTGTAGGTAGATGTGCTTATAATTGGTAATTTTTTTCCTTACAGATCGGTTATGTCAAAGGGTTCTTCGGTGAAATGGCCGTACTTATTCGAAAGAATTGTCGGACACCGAAGACTCGAAGAAGGACCATTGTTAGAATATTTTAAACCGCTTTTTGACCATCTGTGCGTAACCAACAATAAAACCAACGAGTTTATCGGCTGGAAGAACTGGTGACGGATTATTTTGTTTGACAAAAAACCATTAAACGAACTTACCATTATCATGTAGGAAGTGGGGTGTGGAGAATACAAATTTGCCATACATTTATTTACTATACCATAATTTACATATATATCATTAAACGAACATAACTTGTTTTTACAATAAAATGATTATGATTTTATGCTATATAATAATATTATATTTTCTTAAAAAAAAGTGAATATGATTTACTTAATATTCAATTACATAGTAAGAGCACAGTAGGGTTGGCTTTATAACTGAATAATAATCATAACTAATATATACTGGCAAAAAATACCGCCAAATAATAATAATATGGTAAAAAATAAATAAAACTGTAAAAGTACATGATGCACTGGACGCATCAATTTATTATGAATCATCAACCATAAAACAAGTAAATATATCAATATCATAATATACAATATATGTATATATATATATATATATATATATTTATATAAAAAGCAAATTAAAAATATATCAGTTATTATTTAGTCTAACGCACAGTCAGTTATGTTGTAAACTAAAAGTTATACGGGGTCAGTGATAAGCTCTCTCGAATATCGATCAGTTTAATCAGAATAAAGAACAGTTTTCTATCTTTAAAAATGTTTGATGTCTTTTGTTCGGGCAGTGGCGTGTGTCAGGGAATTTTCCACGGTAGAGGACTAGCAGTAAACAAATAAGTCGTGATTCAAGAATGAATCGTCTTCTATTAAACAGATACCTTCACGACAACGAGAACTATTGTATAAAATCCGGGTGGAAAAAGACCAAGTATTAAAATAAATGAATTATCGTTTCTTCGGTAACTTGCCCGAAATAATATACAGTTTCAAGAGTAGCAGTACAAAAAAAAAAAAAAAAATTTACCGAAATATAAGTTAATAATGGGTTGGTGGCCATTATATAGTAATTTAAAATAGGTATAAACCTGTATGAGTTATAAAATCCTCTCTTTATTTATGAGAACACGAAGAATAAATAATTTTTAAAATATTTCACAAGTCATGAATCCGAGAATGGTGACTCCATAAATAACCGGTTATAGATAAAATGTTGCATTGAAGATGCCATGATCACTATTTCAATAAAATAAAAATGGACAATTTTCAATTGAAATATAAATAAATGTTCATGGTAAATACAATAACGACCCTCTTTTGATAACTTGAACAAAATTTTAGTCACAATTAATTACAAATGGAATATTTGATATCTTTTTTTGCGAAAGGAGGGGGGGGGGGCAATTGCCCTTGTATTCACCTTTGTCTACGCATCCGTATTGTTCTTTACTTGGTGGCATTTTCAACACTTTCTTCAGTTTGTATAATCATATTACTTTCGTCTCAATCCTCGTTGTACTTGGTGTAGTAATAGAAGTAGTAACAGGTACCTGGTTAGTGTTTTCTACAGTTTTTTTAAGCTTGCATGTATCACAAAGACAATTTGCTTTATATGTTTTAAAAAAAATGTTGCCCATAATAAATATTAATTTACTTGCCTTTTCATATACCACGCACAGTTTGGGCAGTTATAAGTGATTTTGATTCTAATACGTACACCTTCAATTTAGTGTTACAATCATGAGTCAGATACGTTGCTGAAAAGTAATATATCTATTTTTCGTATACTGCTGTAAATAACTGAAAAATCATTTATTCCGATTTGTTTTTGTTTCGGTAAGAAACGGAATACTCTGGCTACACACTTTGAATACCATTACAGGTACCTAAGCTACCACTTATTTTTATCAGTGGTGACTGGTAAAGTATACTTACTCAAACAACCATATTAACATGTGTACGATATATCAATATTTATGATACCTAACCAAACATGACATACAAATTGTAAACAGTTTATAAAATTAGAAGCGAAATTGAACGGCTCAAGAACCACCTAAGATATATTGTGAACAACTTTGGAAGGGACTAAGCATAAACGGAAAGATAATTATCCCTACGAATGTCCCCTCCATCTGTTTCTTTGTGTCCTCCGCTTCCTCTTCCACCCCAAACTTCGCAATACCATCTAGCTTTCTTCTGAATCAAGTTAATTTTTGTCGATGACAATAGTCACGTCCTAATTTTTTCCGTAAAAATCGTTATATAGGCCTGAATGATGATTAAGGTGATTATCTATACCAATTAAGGGATGTTAAGGACCTGATTACTTTTCATCCTCTTCACAAATTTGTTGAATTTGGTATTTCCTCCCCCCCTATTCTGTAAACATTGGATCGATAAGTCTTATCCTTAAGTCTGAAGACACTCATAATATCATGAATTATTGCCTAATATAAATTATCACTTACCTTTCTAATCTACTTGAAAGGATAGTACTTAACTCTATCTGAACTTCCCTCAACAAAATTTTAGTGAAGGTACAACATGGCTTCAACCTAGGTAGATTAACAACCATACCCAACGTCATTCTAATTTCATAAATTTATGATTCCTTCCATATATACTAATTTTTCCAAAGTTTTTGATTGCGTCGACCATTTCCTCTTGACAAAGACCTTAGATTTCAAAGAAAAGTTAATTCTTTACTTTCCTAGCCTTATTCATACATTACTAATCGGTCAATCTTTATCGCTATTCATCGTTCCAACTCTTCTCTTTTTTTCCCTAAAGGATCTTTATTATTTCCTATGTCAAAAAAATGATAAAACTACCGTTGTTGGCTATTTTTTAACCCCCCAGGGGCACGGGAAGGGAGTGAGTAGTTATGACCAAAATTATTATCTTATAACAATGAAAAAAGTGAGGGAATCCTACATTAAAAATATAAATATTTTTTTCTTACTTCTATAAATAAGGGCCACCCTAATATATATGTAATAATACGCATCTACCGAATTCAGATGCACCGAAAAAAAAAAGTGGGGGTGGTAGAACAAATGATGTCATGTCATGGAACGTAAAAACGTACAAAACATGGATAAATCATTTAATTACCTTTGAAAAAATAATATTTTTGTGCAATCTTTTGTGTTTCGTAATTAATAACTTTTAAACTGATAATTTATAAAAAAAAAAGTGTACTTAAATACTATAATTTTAGTCTGATAATTTGTCAACTTGTCAGCATATTGTACATTTTTACGTTTTGCGGCTAATAACTTTGGCAATATTGATTTTTTCCTTGTTAACTATAAAACTATATTTGTTTCTTGTTATATTCTAATGATTTACCTTATGAATTCACGTCATGTTTGTTCAAAGATAATTTAAACAGTTGAAAGAAAAACATACAATTGTTCAGCTAAAATCACTGCTACCGAACTAGGCATATAAATAAAATATAGATACCACCGTGAAAAAAAAAAATGTTTTGTTGGTTTACCGTAACACTAAACTTTGTTCACAAAATGAAACTTTTTTTTTTTTTATTTTGAGTGTAGTGAAAAATGTATTGATTTTTCACAGTTTTTACGAAATTAATTCAACGTACTTGCAGAAGCCACAAAAAAGATATGATATTTAAAAAAAAAAATAATAAATCGTGAAAAAAGAGCCAAGTTCCAGAAAGAGCAGACTTGATCACAATTTATAGTTCAACAGACTTTTTAAGAGTGGTTTAGAACTTAATCCATTGTTTCAATATTAGGTATTTATTAAACAACATATACAGGATGATCAATCTATTTTAAAATATTCATTATCTCGAAAAATATAATACATTTTTGGAATTTGATTTATATAACTGAATTAATAATTTCCGAGATAATGAGTAACGATAGATTGATCACATGTATGTTAACTGTAATGTATGTTTAGTCATTGTTTTGTATACATTGCCAAGGATTTCTATATTTAATCTTTTTTTTTTTACCCGTAAATAACTTTTCTACCAGAAATCTTTTTCTGATTTACAAGTGTGGCACTTTATGAAAGGAAATCTGACTAGGATAATTTTAAGGAGATCATTTTTTGATCAGGAGTTTTCCCTATAAATGTGAAAAACCGGAAAAATAATGAAAATATATAATGCATATGTAATTATTTTACCATAATATGACATATATTTATGTATATATTTACAAAACAACAGTATCAACCGAATTCTGTTTAGAGTCGAATTTTCGTTTTCAGATACACAATAAATTACCTTTAACAGTAGCTGCACCCGTCCCCATTATCCTAGGACAATTCTTTTTATCTTACTACATTTATATATATATAGTTAAACATGATTCACGTCATTTTTAGTAAATTTTCCTTACTTTTCTATTTTAAAACATTTATAAATTATAATCGGTGCTAATTATTAATGCTAGTCCATATCATATCACTGTGTTAACGGTCTATACTTTTCAGATTTAGATTTTAAGCATTTAAAATCTTTTTCATAAGAATTTAATACATTGGAATTTGGATTTTCAAAATCCATTTTAAAAGAATTTGCCCAGTTTTTCTACATTAAACTAAAAAAACCAATACATTTCTCGCACCACTCAGAATTGAAATGTACTCTATGGGTAATCATACATACCTTTTATAGTAACTAGTCCGCCTGTGCCATTTACAGTCCACAGGTATTTATTGCTGAAGTCTTCGGACGTTAGTAAAATAAGACATACCATACAAATAAGATTACCTAATGACTTACCTATCGCATTGCAGGTAGATACATAGCCTACATTTTTTCTATACAAAAAAATAAAATAAATGGATATTAGTTTTTTTGTTAGTTTGACAAATCTGTTTTAGGATCTAGTTAGATTTACCTTCATACGACAAAATAACGAATTTACCAATATAATTTGTATGACGATTGAAACAATATTTAAAAAATAGTATGAATATTCATAAAATCAGATATAAATTAAGGAAGTTATTTTGACAACATAACGAATTTGTCAGTTACTGTTAAGTGTACATCATCAGAGTGAATAGTAATCGAGTAAAGGCAATTAATGTATTTTATACGTGCAGTTAATTCTAGGCGTGACGGATATCATTGGTTTATGACTTAACTGTATGGATTCAAGAATAGTTTTATATTTAAAAAAAAATCTATAGTAATCAGTCATTTGCTAGAGCACAACAAAAGCGAATGGGATTACCTTTTCAACATCGTAATTGACCAACCGTCGACAGCTATGTCTTGCATATTAGCCAAGATGAAAAGACCGCCAAATAATATTATCAAAGCTTTAATGTTAGGTTTTCCCGATTCCGGTATCAATTCTTCAATCTTAATTGCCGTGTAAAAAAATAAAAACCCTGTGAAAAAATTATGGTTGAGATATGTAACGCTATAGATTATATGCAATTATATAATCAATAACCAATTTTTTTAGGTAATATATTAAATTAAATTATAAATCTTCTTAATGGAAACCATTAAACCAAATGAAACCCATAATAGTTTATTATGATTTCCAGTCTTAGCTATTACAAACAAGTGTTAATATTACTGTCAAAGTGTATATATATATATATATATATAAATTATGTATTTCACCTATTATGTATTGAATTGGTATAATCCAGGACTTTTGTCTGCCTATTTTTTGTATAAATATTGAGTCTACTAAAGGTGACCAGTACGACAAAGCCTGGAAATATGATCGATTTAAATTTATTTATTTATTCTATTTCAATATATGGCAATATTTTTAGATTTTGATCGTAGCGAGGGAGCTATTGGTTTTACTAAGATGTTTATTTTTTTTCTTTCTTTCTTTTTTTTCTAGTCTGTAGATATATTTTTTCCTAATAAACTTGCTTCGATATATAGGTATAGCACTTTTTCTGAAAGCTCAAGTTGTCTAGATTGTACTTTAAACAGGTCATTTTTTAATTTTCGATGCCATTTTTTAAATAAAAACACTGAAATGGGAAAAAATGTAGGAAAACATACAATTTCATTATTTTATAAAAACACGGACGTTTTCTACCAGAAAAAATGATTTAATCGAAAAATCACCTAAACACCTTTTTGATTTACTTTCTTATTTTATTATCGTCAAAACTTTTGAGCTTTTAAGGAATTTTAATTTTTGCGAGTTTTATTACTGTAATTCGGTTATAAATACACGTAGAGACTTGAAACTTGGTAATAATACTTATATTGGACTTATCTGGACGAGGTAAAATTTCCAAAATCATTGGATGAATATTTTTTTTTTTTAAAAGGCGTTTTGAAATCAAATTTAAACGAAAATCGCAAAAAAATTACGGTACTTTAAATTATGTATTATTGAATTGCGCTCGGAATTGTCTTTTGTCAAGCAATGGTTTATCGTTGCTTACAGATATAAGTGAAATAACCTTATGTATCCTACCTTCCCAACGTCTCACCTATAATAGTGGCCGCTCCCATTCCCAGTATCAGCTCTTTTTTTATATTTTAATGAAACATATTATACAATTCGAATTTCTAGGTTAATTGGGGTATTACTAATATTAAGAAACTATTAGTTTTATCTAAATTAATAGGCTGCTGCATGTGTTCATTGAAATATTTTATACTTAGTGTTACCATTAAAATAAAACTTATTGCATATTGTCGTTTCGATAAAAATTTACCTGTTATTCGTAAGTCACTAATTTTTTGCTCTGAAATAATATTGGTAAAGAGGTGATAAATCCGTATGGTACAAACTGAATTGTGTACAGTATTAACAATAGGAAAATATTTAACCACTCTCCTTTCATGTTAGGTTCGTCTTGTGAAATAGAATCCTGGTCATCAAGGTTATCTTCTTTATTCGGTCCCAATTTTAACATTTTTACATTAATTGACATGTTATCTGCGTATAAAATATTTTTTACAAGTTATAATTTATTACTTCAGAAATATATATCAACAACGAAGTACTACATTAATAAATTATCCAGCAGTAAGTTTAATTAACTCATAAGTTAAAGTTAATTTTAAAAGTGAAGTCACTTTATAATATTGTTATTATTAGAATTATTATTTATTAATAACATGAATCTTAAGATTAAAAAAACAATATCAATACGACATAATATTATAATTATTTCTTTTTCACCATTATTACAATATATTTAACCTTGTTTTTTACTAATACGCAAGGCTGAGCATTAACGAGTAATAAGTTTAAAGTTAACTTTTTATTATTAATTGAAAATTACTATTATTACCAATCAAGTTAGTTTTGAATTTTTATATTATCCGGAAAGATATTTTATTTAATACCGTTGTTCTTTTAAATGATTACAAGTTCTTACATTTAAAAATAACTAAATGTAAAAATCATCAAATATCAATAGAAAAACAAAGTGAATGAGATAATATTATTAATATAATTATAATAATTTACGAAGAATTTCGTTTTTATATTTACAGATATAAACTAATGTATCATAGTAATAAAGAAATAAATAGTCTAAAGCCGACAAATTATATCTATAATACCTACTGTTAGTTATAGGTACGATTAGTAATCAGTATCATACCATCTAAAATTAATTAAAGCCACGTTTTTTATATTATATTAATAATTATTTTTTCAAACAATGTTGGCAAAACATGCAGATATCTCGAAAATTGCAATTAATAATTATAAAAACTGCCAGTATGTTGTGAGAATTTGACCAGGTCTCGAAAGGGCTAATATAAGTATTCGATGAAAAATCCATGCAGTTTCATGGGAAATAAAATATTTGTTTATAAAACATATATAAAACGCTGTCGATGAAATTTATAATTATTTTTTAAACTAATGACAAAATTGTGTATTCATTTATACTAAATACATACCTATAATAACGATTGTAAACTGCCTAATTTCAACAAATTGCTAACACTCATTCAGGTCTCTTGTGATTCGCCGCAATGCTCATTACTCGTACTAACGAAATATGTCGTTCTACAGTAAAAAATAAAATAGGCTTTACATATTTTAACATAGAGCAGTAGTTAAGAGATTAAAAAAAAAAATAAATAATAAACATCTTTGTAAAACCATAAGCTACTTCGCTTCACTCAGAATCTAAAATAAATCGATTCAAACCAAATCTAGCTAATATCTGCAGTCCGTGAATAAATATTTGTCCACCTAATATGCCCACTCTACATGCTAAACCTGAATGTAACATAAATGCATAATGGAATTATTTAAAAAGTTTGCGTACAAATATTTAACGAATTTTGGTATTCAACCCGAACGCCTTGGAATTTGTAATACAATTATTTATTCATTCCAAAACAATTAAACTCTAAATTGGCAATGTACCAGAGGTTTCGAACAGTTATATTTATACATAATGTGTTGATATATTCCTTTAGGAAGGTTGGCATAAGTAATAAGATATGTAATAAATAATGGTGTTTTTCTGTAAACAAAGTTTTATAATTTAATTAATCTACAATACCTAATATGATTTATGTGGTCCTGGTAACGAAGAGGAGAGGATCCGTAGACCGTTTCCCGGCGTGAATGACAGCGGTTGATTTCGTGTGGATAGGTACCTATTCTAGATGAACAACCTGTGCGAATACTAGACAGTGCGACGATTGAAGGAATATACGAAAAAGAACGGATGTATATTCGCCACTAAATACGGGATGAATTTAGCGGCAGTAACGGCGACTGACTGGCCACACACATACACACTATATCGAAAACAACATTGACAGACGACGGAGAGTTCTAAATAATTTCGATTGTAGTAATCTGAGATTACTGCTATTTTTCGACTGGTCTCCTAAACGGAGCTTCTGTATATTTTTATACCCATTTATGTTCGGTTTATATAATTTTACGTAATTATTAAGTTATACTCTTGTTGTATTCTAATCGGTGTTCAGGGCTACAATAATAAGTGATAGTTTTTTAATTTTAAAATATGTTTTATTTTATAAGTGATAGTTATTAATTTGTTCCCGAGATCAGCTGTTGTAAGACACAGCCGTCCTTGGTAAAGATGATATGACCAGCATGGCTTGAGGGAGAACCGCTTTTGGTTTTTCGACCGCGCGCTCTCTCGAAGGTCATGTTAGGTCCACGTTGGGCGGTGCTCCTGGAAATTAGCAGTATACTCGTATATACAACACGCTGTTCTAGTGTAAGTTTAGACTTAGACAAGACTTTGACAAGACTTAGTCAGACTTGGTTTGTTTAAAAGACGAAACTACCGTTGGAATCCATTTCTTATATGTTCGATCCACGGGCTAGTAAGTTTGAGTCTCAGGAATAAACCAATACTTCTTAACTCATTTTAAAGTGTTGTTTATTTTTTCAAACTCCTAAATTTCACCTATCACGGAAGAGATGTGCGTCACGGGTGTTTTCGTCAGTAGACGGTTTTGAGTCGCACTAACCAGTCCTGTTCACTACACGATTTTAGTTATGTTGCTATGAATAAAAGCCGATAACACCTTTCGTAACGGCGTCACAAACCGTTTGTGATACAATTGTCGCGGAGATTACGCCACGACCTTGATGCGGTTGGGCATTTATTTTTACGCGTTCGTGTATTGTTGAACGGGCGCAACAATCATCATTATCAATGTTACAACCAATACGGGAGGCAGAATAGGCAGAACATATAGTTTCACGTTGGATATGGAAATAGCCATTGCTTAGGTTTTTAGATAGCGGATAAACTTATTAAGCAGCATCTGGTATGCATTCGTTCAATAATTATTCGACGGTCAGAGATAAAGATCCGGTCAACAAAGTAGCGTCATCAAGGGGGGGTAATGTGAGTGATAGATCACCCTCCAAACAAGAGAAAAGAGAAATAAAACGCGCTGTATAATGGTGTTTCGGTAAAAATGTATCTGATATTTGTGAGTCGCCAACTTTTTGCTCTGAAATACCGGTAAAGAGGTGATAAATCCGTAATACTAATACCAATAGGAAAACATCTAACTAATCTCCCTTTAGGTTTGGTTCGTCTTGTAAACAAGGATCCTCGGCATCGATGATATCTTCTTCTTTCAGTTCTGATTTTGATATCTTTACGATAGATATCAGTGGCGTTGATGTCCAGAATGTTGACTATTGTAGGTACTCTCAGTAGCAACCATGATCACAAAATAATTAAAGCAATTGTAACAAAAAATTGTAATTAAAAATATTACATGGGCCTACAAAATTATATAATAATAATATTAAATTTGCATATACTATTTAAATAAGTAGTTGATGTGTGTAGTAGTATTGATAAGTAATATTATAATTTTTATTAGACATTAGGTATTATTTATGAAATAGTGAACATATTAAAATTAATATAATATATTTATTTATGAGATTTACTTTGATCTATGAACTTATTTATGAACTTTTTTTTGAGCGATATATAGAACTTAAAAACGACGTGACGTATATTTTGTACGGCTCATTAATATTATTGGAGGAGTAAATTTGGCGAATAGCCATTAATCGGTGTTTGGATAGTGTTTAGACGGCATATTTGATATAATGTTAAAATTAAAAATAATTTAAATTAACATAAGGTGACATAATTTAAAAATTAACTCGTTATAATTGAGTGAATGTAAAAAACTAAACTAAAAAAATAAAATAAATTGTAATATTAATAACAGAAATTTCTCTTGAAAATCAAAACATCGGACAAAATCAATGTAAAAAAATACAAGTAATCAGTTAATGTTTTTCCCTGTCAATTCACTAAAATATTAAACCTAAGAGCGCAAAATTGGTTCTGTTGAGTGCAAATTTTCTATGTCGTGCATTTGTAACACAAAACAGAGACGACAAAATGCACGTGTAGCGTCTCTTCAAAATTAAATTAACTTTTTAGCTTTAATTGTAATTTATTTCACTGTTAATGCAGAGAAACATTAGAACGAGGAACGGGGACTGATGTATGATTTTTAAATACCTACATTATTTTAACGACTGATTAAAATATAAACTCTATCTGCGTTTGGTGTTTAATATCGACGTCAATTAGACCGTCCCCATAGTTGTTATTATTATTATTATTTAAATAAAATATTAGTAGGGAATGGAAATCATATTCGAAATGAAATTCTATTGTTTTGAATCCATTTGCTGCCGTATACAAGTACAATTGTAGAGTCTTTCACAAGAGCACATTTTCTATAAAATGCTTATTTTTTCAAAAAAATCGCCCATGTAATAACTATTTGGAATTCTTAACTGTTGAAACATTGTCCTTGTTTTTAATATTATTTTCGGGAGTAAAGTTTTAGTTTAAATACATTTTGGTGTTTATATTTTAAAATTTCCATCAAACCGTTAACGGGATATTTCACTTTCAAGTTTGGATAGGGGGAAAGTAGTGAAGCATAATTTGTATATTATGCTTCTTGAGTGAGTATTAACCATGAAAAAGTTACAATAAAATGGACGGACATACTCAAATCGATTCGAAGCAAATTTTATTTACACGTGTACATAGATACATACATTTTTTCGTTTTCACTCAATTATTATGAAAACTGTTTGAAAAATTTCGCATTATAGCATTACGGTATCATTATTTTTGATTTTGATTTTATTGTTACCCGGTTAAAAATTGTCGTAGATACCTGAAATTTGTATAGAACGCTTATATTAGCATTTTCTAGACATGGTAAAAATTTTACTTATTTATTTAATAATATAAGATTTGTGATGTAAAATAATAAGAATTCGGATTGGAAACGATGACGAACAGAATCTCGCTATACACGAGATATTAATAAATATTATCATTATATTAATATGGAATATGACGATAAAATCTGTTGAAGATGTCACTATATACGCAACTGATGCAATATTAACACGACGAAAATAATGATGAATAAAATGATGTATCGCTTATATTAGTTTTGTTCGTTTAAACAAAAAGTGTACAATTTTTTTACATACCTAGGATACTAGGTATAAAGTAGAGTATATTGTATAGATAGGCGCTAATACTTATCAGTCATCATCCTCTATAGTCTATATTCATATTGTATTTTATATCGAAAATTTACTCTTTAAAACAAATAAAAATATAAAAACATAGAGCTAGTATAATATTTATGCAAAGTAATTTTTTTTATTATTTACTATTAATTTTTTTTTTTTTTTTTTTAATCATTGTGAAATCGTTTAAGCATTAATTTAAAACTTTTTTAATTGTTACTTTTATTTCATAAACCTTAAATAAGTTTATACTTTTGGTATTTAAATAAGAACCCTCCGTTTTGAACACATATTATTCAAACAGAGAATATTTTTCTTATTTCTATATTTTCCTTTTCTTGTTTTGCTATTACACTAATATCAGATTTATTGTTTACGAGTTATAACTGTTTAAAGGTTAGACCGGAGAACTAGAAAAGAGTTATCAATTCATCATTTAAAATATATATGCAATTAATTGCCTACCCCTATATTTTAAACGGTTATGACTCATAAACGGTAAATCTGATATTAGTGTTATGTATAACTTCAAAGAAAATATTCCCTATTCGAAACTATGTTCATAAGGGAAGGGGGGTTCTTATTTGAAAAACAAAAGTGTATTTTTATTTAAGGTACATAGAGTAGGGATTAAAAATCTAAAATAGTTTTAAAATAAAGTTTAAATGATTCCACAATGATTAAAAAAAAATAAACACAAATCAAATTCACGAGAAAATTGCTAGTTCGTCATAAAAAAAAAATCTGTTATCTATGTACACGCAGGCTCCGAACTTTAACATGTACTTGAGGAAGAAAAGTAGTCTACATATTTGTTTTGGTTTAGAACTGCATTTATGCAAAGTTTTCAAGAATTTATACGCAGTCAAAAAAGTTGTATCCACATTAAATCAACAAAAAAAAAAACCCTATGACTTTAAATAGCTATAAATAACTGAATAAACGTTAGAATACTTAATTTGACAATTTTCTCACATAAAGAGATTGCTAATCAATATTCATTAGCAATAAGTGGCATACGTAGGGGGGTATTAGGGAGATATGATACCCCCCTTACATAGTTTAAAGTATTTTTTTAAATTATGAAACGATTACAAAAAAAAAAAA